CCTGCCAACCCCAAAGACCTCTCCTAGGCCTATTTACCTAAAAACCCGCCTATCCAAAATGACTAAAAATACAGATGAAGCACCACCTTGTGCTATATGTAAACTAGATGTTAAGGAAAATGACAATGCTATTATGTGTAACTGCGACGTTTGGTACCACATCAAGTGTGCAAATGTAACCACTAGACAATATAAAGCTATGATAAATGACAAACTCCACTTTGACTGGATGTGCAAATTATGTTCCAATAAAGTTAGACCTAAGATAGACCTGGAGAACCGAGTTGAACCAAATGACTCAAATCCCAACCAGACCAACTACAATCAGACCCTTGACATGACCTCCGACTCAGAACCCCTTCAAAACTGTGGTCAGTCAGACCAAATGAAAAAAATAATTGAAATACTCATGGAAGACATTGCATCCCTTCAGAAACAACTCGAAGACCAAAAATCAGAAACCAATAAACTCTCTGAAGTGGTAGTAATTAAAATGCAGGTTATCCAAAAAATGGAACAAACCATTCGAGACCTAATAAATGGCACAAGCCTGACAGACTCCCTAGCTAGGCAGTCACATCACCTTAAGTTACCAGAAACCCCCAGCCTCCACGACCCCCAACTGCGGGGTGAAAAAGCGGCCTCCGAACTTGTACAGGGAAGCTACGAACACACAAACACCACAATATCCCCAGATGGAGGACCTTTCTTGATCCAAAAATCAAACGCCTATAACAAAACAAACCTCAACAACAACAACAAATCCAGGTCAAGTAGATCCTGTAAATGCACCCCAGAAGAAATAGAAAACACGCAACCAAAAGCCCTTCTTGTTGGAGACTCAACACTTCGCGCAGCGGCTAGCATCATCAAGGATAATTACAAAATAAACGTGGACAGTAAAATTATACCAGGGGGATACATCGAAGACCTAGACCAGATACTAAACGAAACAAAAAGCATGCCTAGAAAAGTAATTATTAACCTGGGATCTAATAATGCTCAGCACGCCAAAACTCCCAATCATGCGATGAGGCCACTGTGGCTGGCCATTGAAGCTGCACAGAAACTTCACCCAACCACAGAATGGTATGTAAATGGAATCCTACCTAGAAGAGACACGAGAGAAACATACATTAAAGAAATAAATGAAGCCTACAGATTCATGTGTGAGCAACTTAAGATTAGCTATATAGACTCAGGTGCTATCGTCGACACCTCCAACTATCGTCCCGATGGTATCCATCCTAATCTAAAAGGTGCAACAGTCCTGGCACATCACATAATTACAGAAGCTAACCTAACCTGCCCGCACTCCACACTCAACAAAAACCACAACAGACACACTAAGACTATCAACCAAAATAGGCTAAATGGAACTAGCAAGAGAAAACCCTTGATACAGGAGATTGAAAAACAACCACCCGCCACCCCCTATAGAAATTACCTCGACAATGACCATGATAATAAATACACAAATGAGCCTAGCCCCTCCAAAAGCCTGAGTCAGGACAAACCACTCATAACACCACCTGAACAAACATATGTTCAGGGGCCAAAGCACAACTTATCCAGTCCAAATCTCATAACAACCCAACCTACAACTCGAGACTGTAATAGGCCTACTAACTCACAACCAACCCCAGAAAAACCAGCAGATCAAGCAAACACCACTGATAACCTGTCAAATAGAGAACCAAAAAACTTGCAAGGCCATTCTCCGTCCATAATGGACTAAACAAAGACAACCAAATCGACCCCAACACAATCAAACAAATAAGCATAAAAGAAAAACACCTAAAAATTATCTATATAAATATTCAGCGAGGACTACAAAAGAAACTGTGCCAACTCGAATTTGAACTGAACATTTTAAAACCTGATATACTTTTAATAGCTGAACATGGACTCAAACAGGATCAAATGCAAAACCTGAATATAAACAACTATATCCTAATCAGCAATTTCTCAAGATGCAAAAATAAATGGGGAGGCGTAGCTGCCTACACCAAACAAAACAGTGAAACAAACTTCACCAAAATCAACACAGACGACCACTGCGAGGAACTAACATCGGAATTTGTGGGACTATACTACAAAAATTATCACTTAAACATTATAGGGGCATATAGATCACCTTCAACCAACTTGGATGGCTTTCTGCATAGCTTTGACCATCTTCTAACAAGCTTTTCAAACAAAAACAAGGATATTATCTTCCTCGGGGATATCAATGTAAACATACTAAACCCTACTAGCCCAGACACGATAAAGCTTACAAACTTCCTGAAAGAACACAATCTAGAGGCTGGGAAAATACCATTCACAAGAATTACCCCAACTTCAATTACCAGCATTGATATCTGCCTAACAAACCTAGGCCTCCCAAATTTAAAATTAAATGCCCTAAAAACTCCACTATCAGACCACCACATTGTCTGCTGCGAAATTAAAACACACTCATCTCAAGTAAACAAACCTATTAAAAAAATCGTCAGACCTATAACTACACACAAACTAAATCAGCTAAAACAGAGCCTAACTGACCAAAAGTGGGACGAAATCTACAAGACTCCACTGGTTGAGGACAAATATAATAATTTTATAAAAATCCTAACGGACAAAATAAATGAACACTTCCCCAAAACTAGCTCAAACTCCAATAGAAAATCCAACCATATTTTTTGGGATGAAAAACTGATCAAGCTTCGAAACCTGACCAATCTAGCCCATGACAAATATATACTGAGCAATACTGAAGAGGATAAGAAAACATACTCAAACTTAAAGAAAATGTACGACACCAGCATTAAAAAAAATAAATCGGAACAAATCATGAAAACAATAAATGAGGCACCAAACAAAAACAAAACCATCTGGAAGACCGTCAACAAGGAGCGAAAAAACAAAGAAAAAACAAAAAAAAATCTAACTCTACATCTCAATGGAAATGAAACCACAAACCCAATAGACATAGCCAACAGATTCAACTCCATATTCATAAACACTGGAAATAACTCAGGACACAAACAAATAGAACAAAACCAAAACAATCAAATTACATCTAGGCCTATAAATGGACTAACAGGACTGGGACAGTTTCAACCCATATCAAAGACAGAACTGGAAGAAATCTTCAAGCAACTCCCACCAAAAAACTCTTCAGGCCTAGATGAAATACCGAACAAAATCATTAAATTTTGTAAAAATGAACTGATTTCCCCCCTCCTAAACATCATAAATGCCTCCATTACTCAATCAACAGTTCCTACTGCAATGAAAAGAGCCCTAGTATACCCTAAATACAAAAAAGGAGACGACAGCCTTCCAGAAAACTACCGCCCCATCTCAATCCTCCCAGTTCTATCAAAATACCTAGAAAAAATTATAAACGCTCAATTGGTATCATATTTGGAAAAAAACAGCATTCTAAGCAGCAACCAGCATGGCTTCAGGGAAGGAAAATCGACAAACACAGCTCTCACCCAGCTGTGCAACTCCATTACTGACATCTGGGAAAAAAAACAAACAGCAAACGGTATTTTCATTGACCTAGAAAAGGCTTTTGACAGTTTGGACCGCAGGATTCTTCTAAAAAAATTACAAGAGATCAAAATTACCGGAAAAGCCCTCCGCTGGATCCAAAGCTACCTGGAGAACAGAGAACAATTGGTGGAAATAGAATACCTATCGAACAACCACTTAACAAAATACAGATCAAAACTAAAAAAACCATCACCGGAATACCACAAGGATCAGTCCTCGGACCATTATTCTTTCTCATCTACATAAACTGCCTCCCAACACTCCTCCCCCCTGACTGCACATGCATCATGTTTGCCGACGATACAACCATAATTGCCCCCATGACAAAAGACGCAAATCAAATTGAAAACATAATACAATCAGCCAGTAATATAAGCCAAGACATGAATTTAACCATAAATAAAACTAAAACTGTGCACATTGAATTCAAAGTTAAAAACAGAACTAACGGTAATGAAGAAGCTGCTAGCCCACAAACTGAAAACAACATATACAGAGCAAACCATACAAAATTCCTGGGAGTTACCCTTGATTCAAATTTAAACTGGCAAAAGCACCTAGAAATTCTACACTCAAAACTATCATCGGCAATTTTTGCAATCAGAAGAATCAGGGAAATCACAAATACATCAATAGCAATAACGGCCTACCATGCACTCTTTTCATCTCATCTCAAATATGGACTTATAGCCTGGGGAGGAGCAGACGAAACCCACCTACAAAAAATCATCACACTCCAAAAAAAAGCTGTCCGAATCATCGCAAGGGTCGAAAATGAAGAACACTGCAAGCCACTATTTATCCAATATAAGATCCTTACTCTAACCTCCCAATACATCCTTGACACAATCATCGCCATCAAATCAGATCCTCCACAAACCAGACAAGAATGCCATCAACACAATATTAGGTCAGGGACAAATCTCAACCAAGGCCAACACAGACTACACAGAACAAGTAAAACCCCTACATACATGGGAACAACTCTCTATAACTCTCTTCCTCAAAACATAAAATCGATAAACGAAACAAAAAAATTCATCACTAGCCTTAAAAAATACCTCCTGAACAGGCCATACTACAATTTAAAGGAATTCTACAAAGACCACAACAATGTGACACACCTCTAAAATAAATAAACCACACACACTCACACATAAACACACACACATAAATACAACAAACCCCCTCCAAGAAATTGACAACTCTCCGGTCTCCACGACTGCGAAGAGGAGCGCCGATGTAAGATGTAAGATGTAAGATTCAAAAACTGTCCCTGAAAACGAAATAGCAATTTTATACAGTACAGTAATTCAGTTAGGAAGAGAGCTGGTTATAGTTATAGACTTAGAAACAGTCGAGCTACATGGAACATCTTTTACTCAACCTGACATCTGTTTTTCTGTTTTTCACTTCTTCTTGCTCTCCCTTGTCAGAAAAAAACTTAAGGATGTTATGGCCGACGCCCGTGCCCGTACTTGCTTTATTATTTAGAATGATTCTTTTATCTAAACATATTTAAAATAACGAATCTTTTTGGTGTTGCAAGTTAAACCTTTACCTTTTAATCGAATTCTAAAATAACTATTGGAATAATTGTTTCTGGTTTGAAAAGTGTCTTTCTTTATCAGTTGCAGAAAGTTGATTGAGTGTTTGCTCCAAGGTTGATACTAATTTACTACTTTCCTACGTTAATTTTATGTTCAAAATGGATCTCATGAACGGCTATGCAGGTAGGCCCAAATTAATATATCGTTATCTTACAATAAGTGTATACCAATCCTGAAACGAGTCGGTCGTTTTAAGTCAGTTTTAGGACTAAGGAAGGAGCACAATTGCTTAGGCCTAGGCCAAACACAGATTGTATCCTACTTCACTAGCCATAAGTTCACTCTCCTACCTGTGATTGAATAGGCTAGTCATAGTCTAGTAGGACTGTGGATTCCTTAAAAAGGTGGACTCTAGGTTTGTTACATGTGAGGCTTCTACTTATAGGCTAAACCTCAAAAGTTCGAGGAATGTTTACTCTCACCGTGAGGAGCCTCTATACCTACTTAGACATACCCACAGGTCACAAGTAGTGAATGCAAGCATAATACTTATATTTTTTTAGAAACTAACCCTTCTTGCCAAGGCTGCGTTGTTGTCCAGCATAGCTGGATAGGCCTAAACTGTGTCAATTTTTATAACAAAGTAAGTTTACAACTTTCACTTATAACTTTACTTTTACCCTATCTGTGCCTACAACTGAATTCATTTTTATGTTATGAAATGTATCCAACAACTTAAATGTTGTAGGCCTAAACAACTTTCATCTGTGTGTAAGTTACTAGTGGTTGGAAAATCTATTGACTTGGGGCTTGTACTCAGGGTCCGAGCACGTCAACCGAATTGACTTGCAGTATCTTTTCTGTCATGTTTTAGTATTCCCAACTTTCTTTTGTCTGTTTGGTTTCAGACTACGTAATTAAAAAAAATATATATACTGTAGTCTACAAGTTTAAAACCACTTGCACTAGTTGTGCTTTGGTTGAAGTGAAGTTTCTTAGCATAGGCTAACCTCCTTGGGATTAGGCTGTGTGAGTTTAAATTAGGCCTAGGTTAATTTTGAATAGAACTTAAATGTGGTATGATGCCAAAGAATCTAAACTTATATGAAGGGGAAGGTAAAAGAAATTTGGTATCTTCAGACAGCCTGGGTCTCAAGCTTTTGTTTCTTGGGTTTTTGACGAAGCCTGGGTGGTGGCTGAAAATTAACTTATATGAAATTAAGGGATATTTTTTGCCTGATAGTTTACGAATAAGTGTTTTATATTATGCTGTAGCATCATAATTTTGAGTCTTAAGCCAAATTGTCTAGTACAGGCTCGCTAATCTAGCTTGTTTAGGACTTTGGTTGTGCCCAATAATTGAAAATACTGGAATACTGAATATCTTCTAAAGACAGTCATTAATTGCAAGCCTATGTATTAATCTACCACTAATTTTTTTGCGTCTAACTTAACCCTCCGAGTGTCACGTGTTTTGGCCTTAATGTCAGCCTATTTTTTGCTCATTTGCAAGGTTTTATTAAAACTGATCTGAGAAGCTTAAAAACAATGTTAATTATACTGTTCTATATACCATTTTGTTTGGAAAATCTTGGGCTTCAATATTATATATAAAACATAAGGAAGATTTAAAAAAAAAAAAAAATTTTTAGGTAAAAAAATGTATAATTTCGAAAATTTTCAAAAAAAATAAGTTTGTGCTCAATGAAATTGTATAAATTATAGGCCTATAAATATTTGAAAATAGCCACTTTGTTCTAAATTTTATGAGGATTACAAATCTATAATAATATAAAGAAGTAGATTTGCAAATAAAAAAGTTATGGGCAAAAAACAGATTTCAGTACATAGCGTTTAGCTAAGAATGCATAGCCCAACCATAGCTAGGAATCTGGCTGATAATTTACATCAATATCACTACCTACTTCTTCAGGATCATCAACCAGCACTTCAAAACCACTTAAATCTTCTTATAATGCACCACGTATATCACTACTTTTGATTTTTAACACTAAAACAATGATAAACGTAATAAAACACATCAGTCATCGGTCCGAGGGTAACCTAGCTGTTTACAAATACACGCACGTCAGCTCAGTCAGCTGTCTGCTACAATATTTTCGGAACTAAAATGAATAGTGCTTAGAGACAGACCTCTGCAGAAAGCTTAGAATATTACGGACAGAACGATACCTAACTCAATCCAGTACAGTCCGATTCAGTTAGTCATAGAGCCTTCGCCGTAAACAGTGTTCGCGAGTCGCTGCAGCGACGCACGACACTATACAAAGTGCGTTACGCGTCGCTGCAGCGACGCATGACACTCGGAGGGTTAAAGACTGGCAGCCATCTTGGATAATTTCAAACAGTCACTATAGGCCTATAGAGTTATTTACCATCTAAATTTGTTTTCAAAAATCCAAGTGATTGTTATTTGAATATCTAGCACAATGTAGGATTAAACATTTTCTTTGTGGTTTTGTAATTGTTAAAAACAGAACTCCCGTCCCTGCATTCCAATGAGAGCAACCAAAGTGTACCGATTGCTCCTGACTGCCAAACACACTAGTATGGCCAAAATGGCCATCAACAATTTGTTTAGACCTGTAGACTAATGCTGGATTGTTGAAATCGCTTGGTCATCATATGCCGGATTAGTGGGCTCTAACTGTACAGTTCGGCCAAAGTTTCTGTGCGCGCGACCAGATCTGGTCGGGTCTTGGCGAGGGGGTTGGTGGGGGTACTTTTGTGAAAACATTTGTGTCTTTGGCTATTTACTCACCCCTACCTCCAGCACTACCAATCACCGGTACCGTATGTTTTAGTTCGGCTAGTAGCGACTGGTCCGCGTACACAGAAGTTTTGGCCGAACTGTAATTTGGAATATGCAGGCTGCCACGTTGATTTCACAATTTACAGTAACACCGTATATATGGAGCATTTAAACCTTATTTAAATATGATTTATGAAACGTCCGATGGCCGTACCGGTATGTTATAATAAATAAGTTGTACCCTAGGAGGTCTAAGTTAATTGAACGTAGCCTAAATTGACTGTGACATTAAAGGAGATTTAGAACATTGTTTAAATTTTTTTAAGGTAGGCTATAGGCTAACATCAATGTTTAACTAGGTGTAAGTTACCCTATTTCATGTAGAAAATAATACAGTTGTATGGTCTATCGTTACTTAGTTCCCCTTCTTCCTTTCTGAAGCATACAAAATCAAAATGTTCTTCCTTCAAAACTCCAGGGGTTTGATCCTTCGATATGATAATCCATGTTAAGCCTGGTTATAGACCAGGTAATTTCCATTAACTATGCAACTTAGACTGCAATTCCAAGTACAATTTGTGAATACTGTCTTAAAATAGAGAAATATTCATTAAACTTCAGGGCAATCCAAATGCTAGGAACTTGAAACACATTAACAAATGAGACTTCAGCCGACAGTCTAATGCAATTTTATATAGGCCTACAGTGTGCTTGCACTAGGCCTATTCAAAATCAATGATATTATGCTATCAACTACAACTAGTACTATTTTCTTTTGATTTACATGAGCAAATAATGTTTCTCAAGACATAAAACATCACAATTAGCGCTAAAATTGTTAAAAATTTTCAAAGTCACTTGCGAGTGAGTATTTATTGGTCGTGCTAACTTACTAGCTTCTAGAACTAATGTTTGGGTTACACATCGCCAGTTTACTCGCTGATGGTAAGTTAGCCCTACTACTAGCGTCATCTGTTTGAGCCTTTAAAAGTCTAGTGTCGGCCTACCTTTGATTAGTGGAATCCATACTAATTCACTATTGGTTTCAGGATCCATTGATCCCAGCCGTGAGTCAGGCCTCGGCAGTGACTCTGACAACATGGCAGAGTTGGCAGCCCTGCTGAACACAGAGATTCCCGAGGGGCAGAACAACCTGTCGGACAGTCATACCAACTTAGAGAGGGTCGCTGAGTATTGTGAGGGCAACTACTTTCAGGTAATTAATTCGTAGGATTAGAATCCATAGTGGTTTTTGGCATTAATGTTGTCATCAGTTGAATATTCCTACCTAATGTTTTGCCCTTACTTGAAGAGGCGTCCTGAAGCCTGTGAGGATACCGTTACTTCAACGTAGGGTAAAATGTCTGGCAGTAAAACTCCAAAAGATGACGTGGTTTATGTCAAAAACTACTACGAATTTCATTTACGTTCATGTATTTTATTTAGGCTAATTTCATATGTTATCCTCTTAACCCATTGACGATGACTCACAAGCTTATCACGAGACAGTTGTACTGCTAACCCACTGGTCCTCAAGTAGTATGTCAAATCTAACCTACCAGCGTTAGTGTCGTTGTGTGCTTATACTTGGCAATCAACCCGTTCGGCCGACATTAGCATGGGAGCTCAGTTGGCTGAGGCGCTACATTAACGAGTGTGGCGTTGAGGTCTTTCTACATGTGCGGGTTCGAATCCCGTACTTGTGGAATTTATATTGAGCTTTTTAATATGTGTGGTTTAGCTGTAGTGGAGGGCCCATCTTAAATAAACTGTGTCCGGCTTCAGTGGTAGTTGACGCCAATGTTTGGTTACGTATGCACTCAACACCTGTTTTGCTTCTTTTTGCATTCGTTTATTGGTATAGAGGTGGACTTGCATTGTCCTCTCTTTAAAATGGATATACCGTGTTAAAATACGTATAGGCCTATTATGATAAAAGACATTAAAGGACATAACCTATTCAAACAAATATTAATAGAGATATAAAAAAATGTCATCAATGTGTTAATCTTAATCTTATCGTGCTAAAAATGAGATATGTTGTGAGTTTTGAGCAAGAAAAGATATGAAATTATGACTAATTATGAACCAACCGAAACAATAAATCTCTGAAGAGAAAAATATTTGTTCTCAATCTCTTCAAAAGCTGTAGTACTAACGGGTCTGTTAATAAGTTTCCTCTAGTAAGAAAATACTGAGATCTAATGTTCATTATTAAAAATGGTTTCACGTTTCACCTATTGTTAGTTATTGATATTAATCAAATGAATATTGCATATCCAAAAATCTAAAAAAAATCAACATTCTATTTACTATTCCTTTGAATATGCACAAAATATAATGTCATTAGATCACTGCAAAATAATTGGCCTAAGTGTTTTCCCAGATCGATACTGAATTCTCCATGTTATGTAAATTGAGGTTTGTTAAGTACTGTAGGCCCTACCTAGTGGAATCATATTCTACCTTTTCTGGTAGGCCTACTAATTTTGAAGTAGGTCTACATTTTTTTTTTTTTTTTTTTTTTTTTTTAGGGTGAGGAGGGAAAATGCTTTTACGCACACAGGTAGCCAGCCTGTAGTGTGAGACTCCTGAGTTTATCACAGACTACTCACTAAAAAACCCCCTCTACTCTGTTGGACACAGACCTGGAATTGTTTGTCACATTACTTCAAGTCAGGCCAACATGTGACCTAAGCCCACAGGGCTCGCACCGTTTCTGGCATTATTTATTTTTTGACCTACACCGCATCCCGGTCGAGGTCAAGCTTCTTGGCGCGGAGAACACCCTGGATGTAAAGTGACACACAGGTCCAATTGTCCTCACCCTCCATCATCATCGGTATGACCGTGTCCACCGACAGCAGTCCTACGAACTGTTGAGCCTCTAGGCGGGGCCTTTCCCAATGCTGGCAGTGGAAGAAAGTGTGTTCCACGTCATCGGGAATGCCTGGGCAGTATATGCAATCGGGTGACACGGCTTTGCCCATCCTGAACAAGTACGACCGGAAAAAGCCGTGACCCGTCAGAAATTGGGTGAGGTAGAAGTTCACCTCTCCGCACCGCCGATTAACCCAAGGTTGGACCTGTTGTATCAGTCGCCTGGTCCAGAGCCCCCTTGTCTCCTGTTCCCAGCTCTCCTGCCACAGCTGGAAGGTCCGGGTGCGTTCCTCAATACTTGCCTGGTCCTCCCCACGGCGCTGATAAATTGCCTTCCTCTCCGCCGCCAAAAGTTTGACGGGGATGACTCCAGCAACCACCAGGACGGCGGGTTCGGACACTGTTCGATAGGCAGATGCTACCCTTAGTGCTGCCTGACGCTGCACTCGGGCGAGCCGCATCCTATATACCTCCTTATTGAGAGCGTCTGCCCAGACCTCCGCACCGTACAGGAGCACTGACTGGACCGCAGACATCAACAGCCTTCTGCGGCTGGACCGTGGACCTCCGACATTGGCCATTAACCGACTAAGGGAAGAAACCATTTTAGCGGCCTTGTCCGCCGTACGGGTGATCTGGTCTCGCCAGCTGAGCTTGCTGTCCACCATGACCCCAAGGTACTTTGCGGCACGAGTGGTTTGGACTTCAACGTTCCCCACCATCAAAGGCACGATGGTGTCAATCCTCTTTTTAGTCAGAATGACAATCTCAGTTTTGCTCAGAGCGAGCGAGAGACCATGTTCTGCCATCCATGCGTTAATGGTTCGCATGACTCGATTTAGTTTCAGCTGGGCAAGCTCAATGCTACGTGCAGCTATTAAAGCCGCAACGTCATCTGCATACCCAACTAGGACGGTTTCCTCAGGCATCTCGGATCTCAAGAGGCTGTCGTAGGCGACGTTCCAGAGGTCCGGGCCCAGTATGGATCCTTGAGCAGCACCAGAAGTTACATCCATCGTCCTGGAGCCTTCTGTAGTGTCGTAAATGATGAGGCGGTACCGGAGGTAGTCCTCTATCATGCGCATGAGGTATGCCGGGACGTGGAAAGTGTTCTCCAGTGCGTCGAGCATATCGCACCACCTCGCGGAATTAAATGCGTTTCGCACATCAAGTGTTACAAGCAGCACAACCAATCAGAAATCAGAAATCAGAAAATCTTTATTGTTTCATATTTTTGTACAAGCTTTTACACAGAGTACTTAAGAATAACTTAGATTAACTATTTAAGATTTAACTCACACACTTATTTATAACTATGAAACAATTCATCCCTAGGTCAAAGACCTGTTTGGGATGTTCTATTACGAAAAAACACATATAAAAACAGCTCAAAAGATGGGATCACCGACATCAATAAATGTTACACTCTAAAGCAACTCTAAAAAAAATAACATTACTAAGCTTCATTGTTAAAATAGGACTAAATACCTTAGACCTGATAAATATGAAAACACTGTACAAATAACAAGGGAGAGTAACTAGATGCATTTAGGATATAAAAACTATGTGGTTTAGAAGTAATATGTTGATCATTAAGATATAGAAATAAAATAATATGATAAATTGGGAAATGGATACACGTCATAGATAAACTTGGCAACAATTTCGATAATATGCATTGGAATCGTTGGAGGATAGAAACATTTTTGTGAGATAACAAAAACGTCTTTTGTTGAAACACGTTTTTATATCAATTGGCAAGTAATTAAAGAAAGTTGGAGCAAGATAAAGATAAAAGTTTTTAAAAGCTGTTGAATTTGGTTTAGGGACTGACACATGAGTGGTGACGAGAATAGTTGTTAAACTCCTCAGCTCTCATTACGGCTCGCTTTACCTCCTCAATAGCGTCAACCGTTGACCGTCCCTTCCTGAAACCGTACTGACGAGGGGATAGATTCCCTGCAGCAACCACGGCTGAATTCAGTCGGGAACGGATCAACTTTTCCAAGACTTTCCCAGCAGTGTCCAACATACAGAGAGGTCTGTAAGAGGAGGGTAGGTCTGGGTTTCCTTTTCCCTTCCCCACGAGCACAAGCCTAGCTGTTTTCCAGCAGAAGGGAAACTTCCCCTCGGCCAGACAGGCATTGTACGTGCTCAAAAGGATTTGTGGGTTTATTGAAAAGACTTTCTTCAGGGCCTCACCAGGTACCCCATCCGGTCCAGGAGCCTTGTTGTTCTTCAGGGACAGAACGGCCGCCTCCAACTCCTCGAGACTGAAAAGCGGTACGTCGTCCACCCTTCCGAACTCCCGCAATGGACGCAGTGTGTGAGTCGGGAAAAGGGACTTTACGATCCTCTCCATAGAGGCCCCGTCCATAACGGAAGGTGGAGAGCGGGTGCCAAGCTTCTTGGTTACTATCTTGTAACCAAGGCCCCACGGATCGGAATCGACATCGTCCCTTAATTTCTCCCAGCAACTGCGTTTGCTCCGGTTAATGGCCCGGCGAAGAGACTTCCTTGCCACCTTGTAAGCGTCAGACTTAAGACGTCTATCTTCAGGTTCTCTAGCCCTGGTAGCAAGACGTCTGGCTCTCAATGCTGCCCGTCGTAGTTCTGCGATCTCGGTTGTCCACCAGTACACAGGTCGCTTATCGCACCGGGATATCCTGCGAGGCATTGACTCTTCGCAGGCCGAGACTATCAGCCTCATCAATGATGTAACTGATGTCTCTGCGTGAGCCACGCCGGATGCAGCAGGTACCACTGGCTCTCCCCGTAGTATGACTTCGGTGAATTTGGCCACGTCCAGCTTTTTGGTGTTCCACCGAACGGGCACCTGCCGAGACACGGTAGCTTGTCTCTGATGACTATCCATGACATCAAAAATGATGTACTGGTGGTCACTGGCCGTATAATCCTCTAGGACTCTCCAGGCTCGTATCCTCGGCAAGAGGGACTCAGATGCAAGCGTGATGTCTGGGATCGTTCCCCTCATTCCGGGACGCTGGAAAGTTGGCGTGTTGCCCTCGTTTATGACAACAAGTCCAGCCCTGGCAGCAAAGTCCAGGATGTACTTCCCCCGGGAATTAGTGAGAGTCATTCCCCACTCGACAGCCCTAGCATTGAAATCCCCCGCCACGACAACGTGCCCGGCGGTATCGCGCACGCTCTCTTCCAGGCGGTCTATCTTTCCACGAAAGTCACGGATAGCCTCGTTGGGGGTGAGGTATACACTAAAGTAAGTGACATCCCCGCACCGGACCCAAACGAATCCTCGGCCCTTCGCGTGACTCCTTACCTGCACTTTAGCTGTATTACGAACCCAGAACGCAGCAGTACCAAGTGTATCGGGAAACCAAAGAGATGGGTCCCTGTCCCGGTACTGGTACTGTTCGCTGACCAAGAGCGCGTCAACACCGTGTTCGAGGGCAAGCTGACTGAGAAGCGCGTCAGCCGTCCTGGATCGATCTACATTGCACTGGAGGATCCTTATCTTCGTGGTTGGGCTTTCGCTTGTTGTAGTGCGCCTTTAAATGCACTGCACTGCCCAGACCCAGCTATATGTTTAGCGTTTTTATCATTGAGGCCTTTCTCCTTACAGAGGAAACAGGTCTCAACTTTACAGTCCCTACGAGTGTGACCCACCTCCCCGCATCGAAGGCAGTTCTTGCCTCGGTCGGGCCCTTCGCAGTTTCGGGAGGAATGGCCGAAATCAAGGCATTTAAAACACCTCGTTACTTCCACCCTCCGTCTCAACCTGCAATTAACCCATCCAACCCTCAAATGCTGGAGTGCCAAAACCTTACTGGCGTTTGCGTCTGCCATTTCGGCGACCGCCATCCGCTGTTGACTCCGGTTTGGTTTCGTGAGCCACACCCTCAGACTAGCCGTTTGTCCGGCAAGCTCGGGGACAGCTTTTTTTAGGGCATCAATGACGTCATCCTCCGTTGACACACAATCCATATCCCGAACCTCGACGGACGTCTTGGGTTCGAGAGCACGAACGGTGCCCTGACCTTCCACAGCTGCCTTTAGTTCGGCAGCAAAGGCGGCTTTATCTTTAGACTTACCCAGTTCGAGGAGGACGTCCCCGTCCCGGGTTTGTCTAATCGACCGTACAACCGTGTCGGTTTGCTCTGGCTTAGCCTTGGCCTTGATAACACCCAAGACTTCGGCGAATGATCTTCCCTCCAAAGGCTTGACCAAAATTGCCTCAGTCCTGGGCTTTTTGGGCCGCGACTTTTTAGCGAGTGCCGAGCCAGGCACAGCTTGGGCCACGCCGGTCGATTGCGCCCTCACTGCCACATATGTCTTGGAGCCGACTTCCGCGTGCCTCAATTTCCTCTTCTCCTTTTTCGTAAGGCGCTTTTCCCACACAGTCCCAGATGGTGTTTCTACGACTGACCCCTTTCGGGAGCTACCCTCAATGGGTGTCGCAGGTTGCTGTGGCTGTTGAGGTTTCGCTGGAGCGGCAACTACGTCAGAGAAGGACCTAGAAGTCTGGGTCGCCTTGACCTTAACTTTAGGCTTTGCTGTCTGAACAACCTCTTCTCTTTTTGGAGGGCTTTCTGATGTAGGCCTCCTGCGTTTCTTGGAAGGTCGCGCATTGTCGTCAGGTAGGGACACCACCTTCTCGGCGATCCTTTCCATGGCCGCCTTGCTCACCAGCCGGCAGGCGAAGACAAAACCAAGGTCGTCCTCGAGCTTAGCCATGCCATTTTTAACCACTTGGTTAACTCCTCTCTGCGTCTTAAAGGTTTCAAGCATTGCCTTTATGGTCTGCTCCATGTTTCGAAGCCGGTTTTCAATGTCATTTTCTGCGTCGAGATATTGCTGACGCAGAAGTACCATTCCCGACACTTCCAAATCTAACGCTGTTGTTAGGGATTCCTCCGGCATCCCTTCACCAGACTTAGAGGGTGGTCCACCGTTTCCTTCTCCACTTGTCAAGGGAGATCCCAAAGTCAAGTCTTTTGTACACCTGAAAGATGCAGGTGGAGGGGACGTCTTCACGCCTTTCAATGTTGGCGATCTCTGGACCTTGGAGCTTCGCCCAAAAGGGTCTCGCTCTACTTCCGACTTCTTTTCTTGCTCATTCGAGCTACTTATTAAAGATGTGTTCAGGGTATTTGTTATAAAAGCCATCTTGTGTTTACCAGCGCATCGTGCGGCAAGGGGCGGCCCGGAATAGTCAGGAACGGGTATACCCTCGGGGACAGCGCCCCTACCCCAGTTCCCCGAGGCCCAACCTCCGTTTTCCCAGCACCGGATACCTGACGTGCCGGGGGTCACCCGTCACAATGTAGAGCCCGACCTCTACATCCATGCCGCACTCCCTGACCAAGGACCGAAGTGGCTGGTTTCTCACGACTCACTGAGAATACCCATCGGCAGTGCAGAGCACACATCAACCCCTGCAAACACAACAGGGGCACTCCCAAGGACTCCCAGTGAGAGCGTCGGTCACCCTTTTAGTCGCCTCTTACGACAAGCCCGGGAAGGCTGCGGTTCTATTCTAACCCCGAAACCGCAGGGGGGAAGTAGGTCTACATTGGGGCATTACTAGTTTCAACATTTATTAATTGATTTTGAAGAACATTTAAGTTGTCTTCAACCATGGCAGGTGTTAATAATGAGTAAACCTCTTATGCCTAAACATTATTAGGCTACATAATTTATTAGAGACTGGCAACTAATCACTGAGATAAAAGCAAAAGTTTTACTATGTGCAGCCTATGTTGTTTTCAGCAACTTAGTGCCATCTGGTGTGTGCAGAGCTTATCTACAGTCAAGCGAATTGACAGAGTAGCGCTACCAAACTACAAATGTATTGTTGGTCCAAAGTAAAAAATAGTAACTTACCTTATGAAATTTATGTTTTCAGTCTGAAAATAAGAGAATTGCCCTTGAGGAGACAAAGAACTACACCACCCAGTCCTTGGCTAGTGTTGCGTATCAAATCAATACGCTCGCCTACAACTTTCTTCAACTGCTGGACTTACAAACCGCACAACTCAGCGAGATGGAGAGCCAGATGAATCATATCGCTCAGGTATTTTAATTTTGATTCTTATCAGACAGTCATTGTTGTGTTGTGGTTGGTTAGTAGTTTACTGTGGTAAGATAGATAGGCCAACCATCTGAGAATTAGTTGTTTACCTATAATCGTAGAGTATTAAGGGGCGAGAATAGGCAATCATCCATCCAAAGCTTGTCAAATCCAAGAATACTTGTCATATAACTTAGTATCAAGGAAATTTACTTTTACTCTCAAATAAGCAGTTTTGTTTTTTAACGTTCCAACTATTGTTATTTTTGACATAGTTAGTTTTATTGTTCTATCTATTTGAATAAAAAAACTCTGTTAGCTCAAATGTTTTTGGTCTCTGAATGTTTTTGGAGGCATGACAACTCTTGTAAATTATCCTATTTTAAAAGCACATATAAGAAACTTAACATAAAAGCAACATTTTGAACGAGTTAGCAAACCAGCCCAATCCGAGTATAAGTATAGATGGGTTTGTAACAAAAAAAAATCTTACCCCAGTTTTAAGTTATTTAACTCAAAATTAATATACTGATTATACTGCATTTAGAATGATTTGGTTTTATATTGTTGATGTAAATTGTCCGGTTTGAGTGTGGGTTGAACCTGTAAAAGGTTAGGCCTATTTTTATTTTTATTTTTTTTTTTTGCAAAAAATCATGCTTTTTGTACCGAAGAGCATTCTCATATAACATCCTCAGCCCTAGCCTAAATCTAGATCGTTGGTTTATGGGCAGTATGGTTAGTGCAAACTTCCTACAATAGGCCCTACTTAGTTTGTTCCACCCTAAGAAAGGGAATTAGTTTTTAGCGAGTCTTAAGAAAATGGCTTTCTCCTGGTTTCCTGCAGTGATATTGTTTTTTTTTTTCGTTGTGTACTTCCATTGCCTTGTCAAATATTTGGGGAGTAATGAAATAACCTCTAAAGCATTTTTCACCTTCAAATTCAGCTTATAGGCTAGTACTAGTTTCTGTAGTTTGTCTCATGGCATTCTCTTGGAGAATGTACAAATTAATGTAGGATGCTAGTTTTTTTTTGTCCTAGGACGCTAGGCATGAGCCCGGGATAGTTTTTCTCATTACTTCAGGATAGACCTAGTGTTTGCGGCAATATAACTTAGATAAAATCCATTGGTGAGTTGGTTGGATTTGAACCTGGTACCTCAGGTACTGAAGTCCGTGCTCTAACCACTAGACCAACTCGCTCCCCAGCTAGCCAGTTTATGTACGTACATATATACTTATAAAACGTGACAGCCTAATATTTTTTTGTTTAGAGGAAGGCTATTAAAATGTAACACCATTACTTAAACTTAATATTAATTTTATTAGGCATGATTTACAATAAATATATTTTTTTATTTGGTGCCTCTATGGATAAGAGTAAAACAAAACACCTGGACATTTGTTTAATTTGTTGGTTTGCTGCAACAGTGGTATTAAATATCCTCAGAATTGGAGCTATCTAAACTTTGTGATTGAAATGTTTACAATTTAACTTTTCCTCTGTTTCAGACGGTGATGATTCACAAGGAAAAAGTAGCTCGGAGAGAAATAGGAGTTTTGACAGCAAACAAGACCACAAACCGACAATACAAAATCATCGCTCCAGCTAATCCAGAAAAACCCATAAAATATGTCAGGAAACCCATAGACTATAACAGTATGTACATTGTTTTTTTTAGATTCAGTGTGACTGTTGGTTCCATTATCACTATAACTGCGTTTCCAACAAGATAAATTAGGCATTGTTGTTATTAGATGTTTTACAACATTTACTGATCTCTGAGTTTGTCTCAAGGTCTTTTACTTTTTTGTTGTTTAGGACCATTGGTGTTAGAAATTTTGTTAATCTGTTTTTATTTTTACACATTTATTGTGGTTGTGCAAACTCATTATTGGTTGGGAAGCGGCAGCGACCAATAAGCTTGCTGAGTATAAATGCAAGAAATTGTTTGAATTCTATTTTATCCAACAAGGAAAACCCAAGTATTTAGTTAATTGTGTTAAGTGTGTGTTTGTGGATGTTGTTGTTCAGGAACTAAACAGGAGTAGGACTGTACAGTTGCTAACTAGTCCTGACTAATTTTAAATTCAGGAAAAAGCTGGGGAAAAGTTAAGGACACTCCAACAACCATAACTGGACAAAAACTAACCTCATTTTGAACAATGTAAGTTTGCATGGTAGTGCCACCCGGTCTCACTACCATACGCATCCACATGGTTAGCAGTTAACGTGTTGATGAAAGCCTTTACAGGTGATTTTATAATAACTTCACTGATTGCTTGCCACTTTAAATAAAATAACACTGCTACTTATCCACAAACATTCAAAGTTGTAAAAATTCTAACAAATCATACTAATAATTTCCAACCTCAGTATCAGCAAACCTAAAACGTGCTTAAGAAATTATACCATCCAACTCCATAAACACTATACTGTTGGTTCTCGATAATCTAACAGTTACTGGTCCGACACGCTCGGTAGTCCGACGCGCCATCGGATAGCGGCGTAGTTGTACAGAACTGTACAGTCCAAGTGTTCACGTCGCGACTGTCTGTTTTTGGCTGTCACAAGTAGGCCTACGCTACTAGCCTCAGCCAAGGGTGTTCCTTTTAAAAGATGTGCGATTAACTGTGGTTAGCTGTTATACTATATACAGTAGACTCCCTCTAGTTCGGCCACCTCAGGACCTGACCACTGGCCAAACTACAAAACGGCCGGACTAACCGGTTCTAGTGCATTTTACATAATCAAAATACAAATAATAGTATTGCGCAATCGTGATATGTTAGTCAATAACCTTGGTTCAGTAATAAAAACTGTAACGTTAAAATCAGGCTTACTCAAGCAAAACAAAAATTACACAACACTGAACGTACAGCAATAAATCACGTAAAGAACAGAAAAATAGAAAGTCTAGTACTGCAAGCTACTGCTACCGTAGTCAGCATAGGCTACTACTACATGTTGTTTCAGAACATAAGAAAGTTGATGAAAACATTAGACAACTAGTCTTAAAGATAATAACGACAGTCGTCAAATAAAATAAAGATAACAATAGATGACGTAAAACACTGCTTATTCTTTCTTCTTTGTTCTTCTATTCTTTCTTTGGTTTCTCTTCATCCACACATTCAACAAGTTGCCATGGTTACTAATCACCCAATCACAAACTGTTTTGTGAGATAGCAAACAAGTGCACAGCAGACATCAGTTGAGTTGTGTAAAGAACAGATGATTGTCAGTGCAAGCGGATAGCTTGACCTTGAAGCTAACGATGGCTATTTCTTTGTTTTGCTTTAATTTATTTTTGTCAAATAAACTGTGGTGTTTCAAAAATAATAATGGGGGAACCTACCGCATAAAAAAATGGTCCGAAATATTTAATTATACACTGCATTTCAACTTATTAGACCGAAGAAAACTATTTATAAAATGTTCTCGGTATTTTTGAGGTTATGTAACATAGTTTTACATAGGTGTTATGCAACAATTCACCCATAGAAGCACCCGTCAACTAAACTGACATGAATTGTTTACTTCTATGGCCGGAAACTAAACATTCAAGTTAAATCCTGTTGAAGGCAATTCACCCGTGACGATGTGACTTGTCCCCCTGAGACCAGGCCGGACCATCCGGCGGAACTAGAGGGAGTCTACTGTAGTTGAATTACTTTGTGTTTTAAGTTTGGTTATCCTACTGTACATTATTTTATGTTGTGTTTGATCTGTGTTATTTTTTGGGATGGCAAGTAGAAGTGGAACCAAACATACGGATAAAGCCTTGACTATTAAAGAAAAGTGGGATTAAAAGAAAAAAATAAGCTAGGCCTATTATACATACATCTATGCTGATTAGGTTATAGGCCAATTTTATACACAGCTGACTTGACTTTAGAAATCCGACGTTTTCGATCATCTGATCATCTGACACTCCCCTGGTGCCTAGGTGTCGGATTAACTAGAGTAAACTGAAGGCTACTCAAATCATTGAAAGGAGCTTAGTTACAGAGTTAGGGTCTTCAGTGCACTAAATAGTGTAGTGATTATTTTGTTCTATTTATTTACGTTAAATAACTTTTACACTTTTGATGTTAACGTTATGATAGTACAGTAAACACCATCTTAACCGACCTCGCATTAATTGATAATTGGATTATCCGCCCTCGCTCGTAAAATATTACAGTTTGTTTTAACCGGCCTTATTTTGAGAGCAGTTAGGTTTAATCACCGCTTTCTAAGAATCTCTGCATTTCTGCTCCCATGCTCAGTGATGAGAACAACTGAACTCTACAGGATGTTACTGTATAAATAAACATTGACAAGAAGTTCTGTACTGTATTACGATAGATTTGGAAAGCATAAATTAATTTTACTAATTTTTTATTGACTGTTCCCCACAACTATAATTTATTCCACTGAAGGTACTTGACTTTACTGTGTTTTGGGTTTATTGAGACTTTTCTATCGTCAATACAAGAAATAATGAAGATTAGTGTAGTTTATTTTGTAATTAAGCACACACGACTTCAGAATAATGATTATATAATTCCAAATTAGTAGCACTTCATTTTTTAGGGATTGCCTTTTTTACTCAACCTATTGACTAGTATTGTGCTATCCGATCGAGGTTCGGTCCCATTAGGGTCGGTTAAGAGGGGGTCTACTGTATTGGTTGAGTGAAAAAAACCTACAGAGTTTCTCCCTTAAGCCGAATCCCCACTATGGCGAATGGTGTAGATCAGCATTGCCGAGCGGCAAGCGTAGACACATGGCTTGTACCGATCGGTTATGCCGATTCTGAATCAACAGGTTGTCCGTCCATATCTAAGGAAACCGTGTGGCCAAGCCGGTTGGCTCTGCTGTACGTCCATCTTTGGCATAGTGGGGATGTGGCTTTAGATTTAGCACTTGAATAAACAACTGTTACTTCTTGGTAGCAAGGTCAAAGTAAGTTAAAATCAGCCTGTGACCAACCAAGCAAACTAATGTCAGCTGTTGGTAAGCTTACTTAGCTCAGCTGGGTTTCGTGTTGTAACTTGTCTACCTCCCACTTTCCGATGTTCTCAGAGTTACTCTTGTGTAGAAAACTTACTGTATAGAGTATAGTGACTCCATTATTAAGTAAATTTGTAAGAATTTACTCTTAATTTTGAGCCTTAGTAAAATGTTTAAACGGAAGAGTGATTAAAAAATTGATAATTTAGTAGGAATAGGATATCTGGACTGGTTACTTTTGCTGGATAAAAATCCATACTGATGTAACCAGAAAATATACATTACCTGCAGCTGTAGCATATGTAATAGCAGACACCTTGCTCGTTTGACTTGCATAAATTCTGTTTTAGTCAAATGAGAAAGTTACTAATCAATGCTAGGATGCATTGAGGGCCACTAAGCTATTTCCTACTAGTTGCTTGCTTTAACCTCTTAAAGTCCACGGTCGCGTATACGCGACTTAGGCCTAGTCCTGCTGCTAGGCTATGGTCGCGTATACGCCCGGCGCCCGGTCAAAAAAAGACCAAAAAATTATATAATAATAATTATTAAAAGATCTATTATAAAATACTATAACTGAAATATTATATATTATATGTTTTCTATTATAATAATGGCAAAATCCTCATAAAAACACGGCCCAGACATGTATATGGTAATTTCATTACAAGAACTTAGGGAGGTTAAAACTTAATTGCAGCTCTTTATTGTCACCATCCTCCTAGCTGCAATAAGGACTCAAGTAAATTCCAGGCCTAGATACAGTTGGGGTTTTTTCACAACAAGAAAGTAGGTAGCTTTCACTTCAAAAACTACTCCAACATAGATATTACTAAATTTTTGCCTGTACCCATTGTATACATGTAAAAATACTTGTATTTGAGATTCCTTGACTACAAGTTCTCTTTGCAGTTCTAGATGAAATCGGCCACGGGGTAAGATCGAACACGCCACGTAGTAAGATGAGGGGTAGCAGTCAGGGTAGCGTGCAGTCTCTGTCCAGTATAGTCGCGGTAGGACCTGCCCCGACTACCAAACCACCCACGCCACCACAAGTACGAGGAATGGGAACATTGAGCAAGAGCAGCCAGTATAGGACTCCACCTGCCGTAGCACCTCCGCAGGTAACTAATATATTTATTTGGTTTCTACAGAAAACATAGATTGCTTAGCCAACGTAGTAAATGTTGAGCAAATGTGAGTTGAATATTGATGATATCTTTTTAGGCTACTCTGGTTCTTTTAATTTTATTGTTTTAAAAAGGGTTGAATATAAAGGTCTGTGGATAAAGATATTTTTGGCCACAGACTCAATCAATTATGATGTCTGAAACTTTAAACAGGTTATGGTTTCTTCTGCTATTATATTGCCCAGTCTACTGACACATTTTTTGTGGTGTTTGCCATAAGATATTACATATGCAGGTAAACATGTGACCTACTAAATATACTTACTTTCTCCATCTTTGACCAGCAATTGCTGGATTAGTTGTTTCACACTTTGACTATTGATACAACTAGACATTTCATCCCCATGTTAAAGTTGTCGCTAGTTTAAAAATAAAAATCATCGTAGTTGATGTGAGCCACCGACAGATTGTGCTGATCTAAACTACTTATTTCTGTCGAATACAAAACCTTTTTACCAAGACAAACTAATAGAATGACTTTTGTGCGCTATAGCAAATGCTATGACCTATTAACTTGGTCAGAAACAAAAAATAAGGTAGAAAATATAATTTTAGACCCTAGTGCATTCTGTGACTGGCACACAACTAAGTTTTTTTTAATAAAAAAAGTGGCGACAGCCGGTCCATAAGATAGGATGTCTACTTCAGTATCTAATAGTCAATGGCCCTATTAAAACTAGTATTAAGAACTAACTGTACAGTCCATCGTTGCTAACATAATAAAAATATTACAATCCATATTTTCTAGCCCCTGAGCTTGTTCTATTACTGAATCGAAATATTACCATATTCAACGAGCTCCTGTAATGTAATGTAACATATGTTACGCCCGTTTCAGCATCACTGTGCCATGTGTTGAGCAAACGTTGATTATTGTTTGTAATTTTTCGGGTTCGGATGATGCTAATTTTAATCTTTTTTTTATGTACATTTTTCCTACAAACACTAAAACAACTAGCAAATTTTATTGTTTGTACCCCTGACCTGTCATCCTTTTCTATAGCCTTTTGTAACATTGAGATTGTTTATAGTCTTGTTATTTGTCCTAAAAGCTAACTCTATACCATATTTCTTTAACTCTTTGGTTAGTGTATGCTGTAATGAACGAATGATAGTATTCTACACATACATATTTCTTATCTCGCGGCTTTTTATTATCATTTATATTTTTATTTTTATTTCTTTGTATGCTAATTCATTCTGCCAACCATGTTTGTTTCATACCATGAGGTTACATTACCTTAATCGCCAAGTGATCCATGCAAGTTCAAAAATAGGATTACGTGCGTTTTGACATCAACACGTCATTGTCAAATCTTACAAAGACTTGTCTAAAACATAATGGTCTCGTCATAGTCTTTCCGACACACACGTACAAAACACATTACCGGTTCAAAAATACATTTACAGTAGGCCTTTTAACCTCTTGAATCCCAAGGGCGCGTATACGCGTCCGTGCAGTAGCCCCGCTGGGAACCCACGGGCGCGTATACGCGTCCGCGTGCAGTTTGAATTTGCCGCGCTAACTACGACTGCAGGAAGAAGAATAATATGCCGTGTTTGGCACCATTATATTTGGGAAAAAACGCTGATTCTCGTGGTATATTTTGTTTTGCGCTAGCTTGACATGCATCACTGCTGCGATGTTTAGAAGTTAGAACTCAGCTGACGTTTTGTTGTGTGTTGTGCAATTACGTATGTAGCTAGTTTGTTTGAAAATAATGAATAATCGTGTCGGAACATCGTGTTCTCTTCAAGATAATGAAATTAGTTTATACTTAAATAATCAAAGGTTGTGTGATATATCGGGAGTGGATTATTACGGCAATTTCGATGACAATATTAGTGTTCAGTGCAGTGATGGTGATGAAGGGTTAGGCCTAACAGTGTATGACGTTGGTATAACCTCAAAACCTGATTCCCGGGTAAGTGGTGATTATATTTCACATGATGACGCAATAAATATTGATAGTACATGTATTATATGTTTCTATGTAGGGAAATAAATTATCTACAAAATGTATATAATGAGTAAGAGTTTTATTTGAATAAAATAATTTTTATGATAGCTAAGTTTGAAAAATTTTGTAAAAATTTTACAAATTTTGACTTTTTTTACCTAAAACTTTTTTTATTCAATATTTTATAAATTTAGTTTGTTATTTTATTGCTCTTCAGTTTGTTCTGAACAAAAAAAATATATATTTATATATGTTATCTTAGTTTTTTTAATTTTTTATAATTTTCTGAAAATTATCTAAACATACCCGGGTTGGGGAAAGTAGCATGACCTAACTTACTCGGGAGTCAAGAGGTTAACTAATTCGTGGTAAACGCTCGTCACATAGTACGGATCTGCTTGCATGCCGAGACTCGACTAATGGTGCGCCGCTTCCTGGTTTATCAACTGGACTTTGTCCTCTGCCACCGGTATCATCTAGTTGTGAGCTCTTTAGTTTAATCAGGGATTCAAACAATGCATTTGACTGGAAAACACATTTGTCATTCAACAAATTTTGAGACTGGTTCCTTGTAGCTTTTTAAATACGGAAAGTAAATAAAGATACGTCTTATAACACGTAAAACATATATTTACGCTTATACTGTTACTCACAAGACGGTAAATATACAAAAGATGGTAAGTGGTGATCGATTTCGATTGGACACTCCGATCATCATCAGACCCAATAGGCGAATGACAAAAGTCATTTGCCTATTGGATCTGATCAACCACTTACCACTTACCATCTTTTGTATATTTACCGTCTTGTGAGTAACAGTATAAGCGTAAATATATGTTTTAAGTGTTATAAGGCGTATCTTTATTTACTTTCCGTAAATTTAATAACACGTACAATGCTGAACAAGAAATTATTTAGCTTTATAAATCTCATAATTTTCCAATGCGGTTAATCTATGTCCTTTTCTGCAAATGTGTAATGGTTTTCAATTAGTATTAATATTTGTATAGTTGTGGTTGCTATTGGTCAGATGTGCTGCAAAGTTAGATTTCTGTATACTGGTGGCTTTTAGGCAAATGTTCTTTAAACCTTTTTTCAAATGTTCTTTAAACCTTTTTTCAAATGTTCGTCCTGTTTGACCTATGTAGAACTCGAGCTAAATTACGCTCTTCTTCTTCTGGGATACTTTTTATAGCACATTCTGCATTTATTAATTCATTAAACTGGGCTCTTTTGCCTACTCTAGGAAGGTTATATTTTAAACCTTTCTCTAATACCGATGTTCCATAATCAAATATGATATTAATGTTATTATTTATTACTCTTTGGGTAAAAATCCAAAGCAAACAAAACTGTAGTTTCCTTAGATTTTTGATCATTAACTAATCTAGTTCATTTCTTTCTTTGAGTGAGTTTTTTAGACCTAATAAAACTAGATACCAACTGTTTGACCTAATTGATAATACTGTCTAAGGCAATTTGATGGACGTTATTTGCAATTTCTAGATACTTATTTATTAACAAGCTGATTTCTTTTTTACGGTATAGAAATTTAATTATATTTCGGACCCCTGCTTTCTCGGCACTTTCCACTGTTTCTCTTGCAGAGTAGGTCTTATTTCTTACCTTTATGTGTACATAGTTTGGTTTCCTTGTTAAATTTTATATTCTGTATTGTGTTGTGTGGTTTCGGTTTTACATTTACAATAAAAAAAATTATTTAATGATAAGTGAAGGATGTAATCCTTAATAACTTTTGCAATATAGTGAAATTTGCGAGCCAAGGTAAATTTTGAGAACTCTTACTTACCAGGCTTCGATGTAGGTTCATTACCACAACACACACAAGTAGGTCTATGATATGTCACAACGTAATCCCATGAATCCAAAGACGTTCCAATTGTATCCAAGTAGTATTTTCCCCGAGTAGGTGAACAATTTGTTATGTTCAGTGTCAAGGTTTTGATAGGACCCATAAAAATGCTGGAAGAATTGTTATCAGTATTTATTTTGTTTTGGCATTTGTTCCCAAGACATTTTGATTTTAGACTTATACTTGTTTGGGATTATAGGTTGCATGATAGTATGTGTTTGCTTAAACAGTTGAAATAAAGATAAATTAAATTAAAACTTTGAATCAGGATGTGTTAATCTTGCAATGTATAGATAAGGAATGATATGTGTGTGTACTGATAGTACATGCAAATCATGGACTGTATGTAGAAACTACCATTTTTGAATGAATTAGTGAAAATGTATCAAGCCCGTTCTTCTATTTGCATTAAAAAACTTGACTTGCTGAACTATTTTTATCTTGACGACTTCTGTTATTTGAGATGCTTGGTCAGTTGCTTATTCAACTTTGATATGTGTTTTGATTCATCTTATTTCTTCTTTGTGTGTGTGTAAACGTGTGTTCAGTTTATTTTCTCTTGTGAGTTTCACCGTTTACTATATAAGTACTTCTATCTTAAATTGTTTTTCTATTTTGATTGATAGTTGAGGTGAAGTACAATTGAATATTTTCTCCGAACGACATTGTAAATGACATATTTGCATCCCTCTACCGTGTGGGGAATTTAGTTTTTAAATACATAGGTTTGCAGCACTTACAAGAGATTGAATGCACGGAAAACTAGCTTTGTAATCGACGCAGCAAGAACGTTTTGGTGTTTTCTGAATTTGTACCTGCTACATTGTTCGGCGGAGCTATTCAATTTCTGACAATTTTTCTGCCAAACGTACCTAGGAAGGCCTTGATTAAAAGCCGGTTTAAGTAACTAGGCTGGTTAAAGCAAAGTACTGAATATTATTATGTGCCACAAAATAACCTTTCCATACAATAGAATTATATTGAACAGACTTTTGGGTGCTGGAGTTAGGGTTGCTACCCTTGAGGGAGAAATCGGGGCGTGCCCCCTTCTGCAATATTAACACAGGCCTAAATACGAGCAAAAGGATCCAAAGTTGGGGTAGTCCCGTCAGAATCGGGACGGGCGGCAACTGTGGCTTGAGAAGACATAATATCAATGCAGAACAGCTGTTTAGAATTTATAAGATTCAAAATAACTTGAATAAGAATGTTTGCAATTTTGTTGTTGATACTATGACAGTTAACGTTAGATAAGGATGCTATGGTTTACAATTCGATAAACGTATATTTAATCAGTACTATTGAATTTAGGTGAAAAACCATGACACTAAATGAGACTATATCGGATCAGTTTACTAAACTGGATCTCATAGTAGATTGCCAATGTCATGTCAGAGGTAGTGGTGAGGATTATTGTTATCTTGTAGCAATCCTAGACATGTCTAACTTAAACTTCTGACTCTCGATTAAAATAAAATACTCCTTAGTCCTTACTTTATTATTAATGAAATATCTCCCTTATAACAAAATTAAATTAGTCCAGCTTTGATATTTCACTTAGGAATGATTGAAAAGTTTGTGTATTTGAAAGTAAAAAGTGTTAAACATTGGTTGCATGATTCAATTATGTTCTTGTTTTAAAACCGGCTACAACTTTTACCAGGTTCCACCGACCAGGAAAACCGGGAATTATATGTCCTGTACCGGCTCACCCCTTGTTTTGCTGGATAGGTTCCACACACAGTCCTCTGTAGCCTATGTGGCCGGGCAAATACAAGGTTTAATATGGTGCAAAACACATCTGATTGCAAATACATACCAAATAAATCTTCATTGAAATAAGCAATAAGAACAATTTAATTTTGCCAATTAATAGAAGGGTGTGCACCTGTAGCTGACGTAAAGAACCACATTATTCTCTTCTGTATCCTCACCCCGTTACAAACAAATAGAGAAACTTGTTTTGACTACTATCCGTGATATTCTTGGGACCTTTTATCATGCATATTAGCCATGTAGCACCAAGATCAGCCAGCTTTATTAGCTATTTAATATAAGGCAACTAGGTTATTATAAGATCAGGTACTTAACTGTACTGTACTCCCCTTCCAAAAATATCAAATCATAATTTGGACATTTCTCATACAGTACACTACACTCTCGATTATCCGAGCCCTTGGATTATCCGACGATGTTTTAAGCCTAAATATATATATATATTTTTTATTTTCAGTCGTAAACAATAATTACTTTATAATAGTATGTTTTTTTAAGATAAAACTTAAAATAGCAAGTGGTTTGTGATTTGTTTAAATTAATACTTGAAATAATGATGAAGTATTAATTTAACATGAGGATGATCATCAGTACAGTAACCTAGAAAATGAAAATTACACAGTCCTAGGTTGGACGCCAACTGTTGGCATGCTGGATGAGCCGTCTGCAAAACATAAACAATTGCAGTTATTGGCTGTGTCAGTCTTTGTCATCGTCATTAAAATGTTGAACTGTGTGAGGTTATAGCTCTGCTCAAACAAAATGTAACTTTAACTATATCCTCCTTAATGTTTTGCCTAAAGTACTGTGGTGTACTATGGTTTGGCATACTTCCACTAACAATACTGTGTTTGAAGTTATTCAAAACAAATGAATTGGTGGGCGTTTTTGTATTTTTTTCTTTAAAAATACTAGGGCCTACTTTATTTTTAAAATGTTGCATGAAAATTCCATATGATAATTTTTAGTTTCCTATGTATTGATGAACTTATACTTTGCAAGTATTCGAATTCCCAATGTGTGTGTGTGTATTTACTAATCTCAAAATCTATGCAACCTCCGTTTTGTCCGAGAGTTTTGGTTACCGAGGTAGTCTCTGTCCCTACAACCTTGGTTAGACCTAATCAGGAGTGTACTGTACGTTTAAGGATGATTTTCCCCAAGTCTTACATTTATCTGGTTACAGGTACCAAGTCACTACGCACCCAACTACCCACTGGGCCACCCCAGACGCAGTGGAGCTGGCTATAGCACTCTACCCCTGGCTAGTGGAGGTGGAGTCAACCCATCACCACCCCCGCAGGTGGGAATGGTTCACCCTCTGCCACAAACACCACCACCTCCGCCGCCACCATCTAGTTACGACCACCACAGCAACATGCCTCGTGAGTATTAGTGGAATATTAGTTTGTTAACTTAATTCACTGGATACGTGGATCAATACCATCGAAAACTTTATGGAATCAACAAAATAACTGACTTTTATCTGGATCGGAACGGTGACAATTTCATCGTCAGGGGAGTAATATAAAGGTAAATTGTTAAAGTCGTGTCTGTTGCATCCGTTGCCGAGAAATTGATGCGGGCGATGGACACTCAGTGACTGTCACTCAGCATTGTTTTCAATTGGTCCGCTGTTCCATAAGTACTTGAACTTGAGGCGCTGAGGTCTGACGCAGGGCACTGCTCCGGGATCGCTGATGGCCAGTGTTTGTTGCAGTGCTGTTTCGGTGTTCTTAAGCTTGTGTGTGATGTCTTGTAGAAATAATGCAAAGTTTTTTTTTTCTTCTGATAAAGATGAAAAGTTAATAGAAGCAGTGTCTGCACGTCCAGCTTTGTATGACCACGTGACCCTTTCTAAAATTCATTTTGGGTTCAATGTTTAGTCAGTGCGTAAAAATCTTTTTGTTTTCTTAAAAAAAAACCGCTTTTTCTTAACACTTATAATGAGAGCACTTAATATACTACAGTAGCACAGTCAGCAACCAATTGTTGATCTTAATAGAGATGTTCTTGGACAATGAGCTGTAAAGCGATCAACACCCTGTGACCATTGCCAGGCGATCTCCGCTCTTGGATAACACTCAGACGCGTTCTGGACAACCGCCCCTTTTATTTTGTTATGTATAATAATTAGGTTTAATCCTCAAGGCTTCAAAAACCTATATATCAAACATCAATATCCACATAACAAACTTATAGGTACTTACAAGTTTAACGAAAACAGCTGGAAAGTAGTGCCTATGTATTTTAGCCTGAAAGAAAGCTTACAACTATACTACGGTGTAGAGCAGGGGACTCCAACAGGCATCATCGGGCTTACAAGCAGATTTTTTTCAAGCCCGCCGAAAGCCAGCATTATAGGCTAGTAAAAAAATAATTGTTAGACAGCAAACATCGATCATCTTCTCTTGGGATAGCATAAACACTTGTATTTTGGCGATACCATGAACGTTTCTTGCGATCTTGGTAACTCTCATGACCATACCTTGTGTCTCAGCAATACCGTGATTGTCTCTTGGCTGCGGGAGGAGAGGGGACTTTCTGCTCTGAACTGAAATATGACTGGCTAGCCCTCCCTTTAAAAAGTACAATGTGGTCCCCAAAGAAAAAAGGTTAGATCCCCTGCTCTAGGGAAAATGGTGCTATTAAAGCAAAATTAACACTGTGTCTTGAGTAGGCGCTGTTCCCTAGAGGCAACACTGTTGGATGAGGGCTCAAATCCCCTCTCAGGTATGTCCGATATGAAACTCACGAGGAGTTAACATGATAACCGCGCATGCTGACTTTAGTCGGCACAGTCAGCGCTGCCAGTTGGCTCGCGTTAACAATAGTCGGTGTAGCAAAAGCAACTCTTTATGTTCCTCTTCTTTTGTTAGACTTTTCTTTAGGTGATCAGTGTGAACAAATCTTGTGCAGTTTCCTTCCTTAATCAAATAGGTTACGGGGCTTATACATTTGATTACTTTTCCGGGCAACCAGTTTACTTTTCCTTCCTCACCGAGCGAACAAAAATTTTTTCACCTACTTCAAATGTTCGTGTTGAGCCTCTACAGGTATCAGCACTGTTCTTGATTACTTCTTGTTTCCGATTCATATCTGCTGACAAGTTAGGCTTCAGGAGACTCAATGGGGTTCTTGGTTTCATTTCCAAAAACATTTCTGAAGGTGTGCATCCAGTAATAGAATGAGGAGTGTTTCTAAAGGTAAAAAAAAAGTCTACGTATTTTGTGTTGGATGGATCGATTAGACTGATTTTTCTGGTCGAGTAGAAGTTGTTTTAAAAAGGTTTCCTTAATGGTTTGAACAATCCTTTCAGCTAACCCATTTGAGGCATGGTGGTATGGAGGGGTGAGAACATGGTGAATTCTATTTGTTGTCAAACATTCCTTAAACTCATTTGAGGTCAACTGCGGGCCTCCATCAGTTACAATTGTTTGAGGTAAACTATAGGCTGCAAAACATGTTCTCAATCGTTCTATAGTGTTCAAGGATGTAGAGTTAAGTGACATAACCCATTTAGTGCGACTATCTACACTTTTCAATGAAATGGCGACCATACAAAGTAGGTATTTTAAGCCAAGTATGAATGGAGATTAGTGTAGGATGAGTGGTGCGATCTTGTAGTCTTGTTAGTGACTAAGGCCAACTTATTCCTTAGAATGTTACCTAAGTTAGCTCATACAGCTAATGTCAACTACGGGACCTACAGTTTATAGTGGAATCCGAACCACATTTTTGCCTTGGTGTATATGAATTGGTCTAATTTTCAGGATAGTACCGCAGATAGTCGTAGTACTCACTAGTGCGGATGTTAATCCACACCAGGGAGTATCGCATCCACAGTACATGCCTATAAATATCCACAATTCGTAACCTCCTAGTAGCTGGATTACAGGACGACGCCACCCGTCCCAGTCTACTAAGATAAAAAAATCCTTGCCTTCAAAGTTTGCAAAATCAAGATGTAGTCGTTGCCAATTTTGACTGGGCCATGTCCAGGGTTGAAGAGGTACAACTGGTACTGATTTCCTGGTTGATTGACAAACATTGCATTCTGCAACATATCTTTGAATATCCTTGTCCATACCCGGCCACCAAATGTAGCTACAAGCTAATGATTTCATTTGTGATTCACCAGAATGCTCTGAATGCAGTTGATTAAGAATTTCCTTTCTGTGAGTCGAGGGTATGACCACTCTAGTTTCCCACAATAAGCAGTTTAATTCTACTGATAATTGATGTGTCTTGTCAGTAAACGGTTGCAATTCCTCACTAACATGATTAGGCCACCCATGAAAAGTGTAATCCATCGCTTTTGACAAGATTGGGTCAAATTTGTATGCTAGGCCTATCTCCTTAAAAATGTGTTATAGGAAAACTGTAAGATGTAGAAAAGGAATTCTTTTCTTCAGGTTCCTTCTGGTCGTAATTGCATGGCAGTCGGGAAGCAATTTGATATCTCCGAGCCTTTCCGATAGATAAGTTCATATTGGTACGCTGCCAAGATAAGTGCCCATCTCTGTACTCATGCAGCTGATAGAGTTGGTATGGATTTGTTAGGCCCTAATATAAAAATTGGGGCTTTGAGGTCAGTCACGAGCTTGAACTTATGACCATACAAGAAAATATGGAACCGTTTCACAGCAAAAACTGTTGCTAAAAGGCTTCTTGTTCAATTTTAGCATATTTGCGTTCACTTTGGGACAACGTCCGAGACGCAAAAGCTATAGGCCTTTCAGTGCCATCTGGCAAAACATGAGCCATTACGGCACTTACACCATATTGTGAACTATCACAAGTTACTAAAATATATATTTTTGGATCAAATGGCATCAATAGGGTGTTTTGTAGAAGCAACTTTCGGCTTTTCTCAAACGCCTCCTCACATTTGTCATCCCACTTCCATTGAACTCCGTTATTTAACAACTGGTGAAAGGTTTGGAAAAGATTTGCCGTAATAGCCTAATTCATTAATCCTAAGTACGAACGCAACTGCGTTTCTGGACTCGGATAAATCCCTGTACCATCTAGAAGATGCCCTAGAAATACAATACTCTTTTGGAAGAACTTATTTTTGGCCTCATTTATTTTTACACCATATTCACTCAGCCTAGTTAGAACCTTATGGACTAAAACTACCATTTCTTCTGGTGAGTGACTTATTAATCAAATATCATCAAGATAGCAATAGGCATTTTGAATCCCTGACATGATTGTTTCCATTACAGACTGGAATATAGAGCCTGCACTAGAAATCTTGTTTAGCAAATTTGCCTTATTGTCAATTTGGCCCAATAAATTACTTATTGACTTATACTTATAAATTCTGTACGGTAGCCGCTTGTAGCGAAACAACCCTCTCAGAGTATTTATGGTCTAAAGGCCTTGCGAAGATTCCTTTATTTTAACCTGGTTGTTGGCAGAAGCCAAATCAAGCTTACAAAAATATTAAGTACCACCGATTTGAGCAAATATTTCATCTGGGTTCGGTAAGGGGTAATGATCTGTTCTGATACACTAATTTAACGTTATCTTAAAATATCCACAAATTCTGACAGATTTGTCTGCTTTTGGGACAACTACAATGGGAGTAGCCCAATCTGTTTTTGTCACCGGATATATTACATCGTTTTTTACCAAATGATCTAATTCCTGGTCTACTGCAGGACGTAACGAGAAGGGTACATTATGTGGTTTGCAAAACACAGGAGTGGTGTTTTCTTTGAGCACCAATTCCACTACTACAAATGTAGGATTTAAATTTAATTTCTCCAAAAGCAGCGTCAAAAACACCTGCATATTTCTTCTTTAATTCTTCTACGATAGGCTTAACAAAATTTAGAACAGTCTTACCGTTCAGTTGGTTGACAGCAGAGTCATCTTTGCGTTTCTTCATTACTTTACTCCAGTCCAGCTTCATTGCTTCCAGCCAGTTTCTTCCCATTAAAATTGGTTGGTTGGTCGAAGTACTTTCAATCACCACCATCGGGAGGACCATTTTTTCCATTGGAAATATTTAGATCTGCCTGAAACTCGCGAAGGACATTAATTTTCTCACCTGTATTTGTCTTCAAACATATTTTGCTTTTTGAGAGCTGTGGGACAGAATCCTTAAATTTATCAAACTAAACAGAGTCTGGAAGCACGCTAACAACAGCGCCTGTGTCGATCACCATCTGTAAACTTACATTATTTACACGCATTTCAGCAACAGATTTATTAGGCCTACTTTTATTATTTGAGTAGGCTATTGTATACAATTCTAGTTGATATCATCATCTTGATCGAAGTTGTTTACCGGTTGAGCATGTGAGCAACTCTCCTGGTCGCCCTCTTCATCGCAGAAATTCACCCTGGAGCTAGGCCTATTTTTACCATGACCTACATTTAGCCTATTTTTGTTCTGGAAACAAACAACAGATAAATGTCCATTACATTTACATAAGTTACAAGTATAGCCTCTATATGGACAATTCCTTAGATCATGTTCTTTTCCGCACCTGTAGTGGACCTTAGAGCTAACATTTTTGTCAGAAAACCCTTTCTTAAAGCTAGGTTTAGGATTCTGCACAAATTTCTTAGGTTTAAAATTGCTCTTCATAAAAACTAATCTCACAAGACTTCTTCGTACCATCAGTGTAAAAGAACCTAGTATTCTGCTCCGCATTCTCGACCAACAAGGCCGCTTCAATCGCTTTATCAAAAGTAAGCGATTCACCCTCTGCTAAAAGTTTGCTCTGAATGTTCGTAGACCTCAGCCCACATGAAAACCTATCTCGGAGTGCTTGCTCCAAAAATTTCTCAAATTTACAAGTTGCAGCCAGTTTCTTTTGTTGGACAGCATACTTAGAAATGCCCTAATTTTCCATTTGGTTTGTTTTATTAAACAAAAACCTTTCATAAGTAATACTTTTCTTAGGAGCATAGTGAGACTTCAAAACTTCAAAGCAGATCAGAATACCCTTTATCTCTAGGTGCATCTGGGACTATAGGGTTTTTTAATGTAGCGTACATTTTAGGCCCCATAAGTGATATAAAATAAGCCTTTTATCAGCATCCTTTACAGAATTTACGGTGAAGAAATTTCCTAGTCGTTCAGAAAAAGGTTGAAAAGACTCAACGTCTGGATCAAATTCAGACAACTTACCGATACAGTAGACTCCCTCTTATCCGGACTCCTCGGGACCGAGGCTAGTCTGGATAACGGGTTTTCCGGTTAAACCAACATCCCCAAAATTTTGTTAAAACGGACTGTTTAAATGCATACTCTACACAGGTATCTGACTTAAAATTAAGAGAGCATTGTATTTAGACATGTAATCACTGGTCTCAAATCTTTCCCATGAGAACAGTCGTTTCAGTACCGCCCACTTCCTGCCGATCTAGTCCGGTTAAACCGATGTGCTGATAAAAGTTATCCGGATAAAGAGATGCCACTTCTACCGAGTGTAGTCCGGTTCAACCGATGTCCGGTTAAAAGGTGTCCAGATAAGAGGGAGTCTACTGTAATCAGTTTGCTAGCCATAGCCTGCGATTATATTCACAATTCAGCATTTAACACTTTACAGTTGTAAATCTTTACTTTAAAACAGTTATTTCAACATTAAAATAACTTTTCACAGCTCTACACATGTGCTTTTCCACTTCCTTTTCCAACATGAAAATCGTCAAACTCTGACATGAAAATTACAGTGACTTGTAGGAATTTTCCTTGTTTCTCCTCCAAAACCCTTGTTACATCTCAATTCCAATATTTCTTTACTCCAGTCCACTACTGTAGTGAAGCGAACAATCGTATGCAACTGGAACCCTATTACTGAACCAATACTAGTTAGTCAGTTGTACATTACCGCTCCTTCAACTGCTCCTAGATACCAGTTCTTCTTTCCAAACTTATGTGTGTGTAATTGAAATAATTGCTACTTGAAAAGCCGTTGTTGTTTGTAACCACTTGGGCACTTTATTTGTAACAGTTCTTGAACCCTGTTCCTTCTCCTTCCACTCCACTTGGATGAAACACCGAATGAGACTTCCAAAATGGCGGAAACAAACTTGAGACAATTTAAATATAATTAGAAAATCGTACCAAAAAAATATTAACAGGAGAAACTTCATTACATATTAATATTTACACACAAACTGAAAAATTTAAAACTCGTCGCCAGATTTATTGTACTTTAACTAAAATGATAGTAAGTTACATTAGCCTACGGAAATTATACGGTAAGAGTTAACGATGTGCACGTACCACGTACCTGAAGTATAACGTAGACTGCGTTGTCGTCCTCATCGTCTTGCCTCCAGGGTTTGACCTTTGTACTATTGAACCTTTGACCTCTATCCTATTGTTGCTATGTCTACTTTACAACAACAAACAACTTGTTTACGTAAGAAATTGAAATATTCGTGTTTATGAGGTATGGAAAAGTATTACAAAAAAGGCAAGATTAAATGGTTTCAAATATTTGATTATTCTTGTACTTCATATGTGATCCAAAACAGTTAACGTGTTAGTTAGTTTTGTAAGGTTTCAGTCAGGGAGCCGAAACACCAGCTTTTGGAAATTGATATACAAGTTTATTTTACTCTTGCAATGTTTTCCATTATCAAAAGCTTAAGTTTTGTTTGTTGTAGCTCCACCTTCTCCTCTCACGCTGTCTAACAACACTCAAGGAGTTGACATCTTGGATGGGCATCAGCATCTCAGTCGGACGTTGCCTCACCACCACCCCTCAGCGCACCATACTCTGCCTCCCCGCGCCTCGCCTCCGCTACCCCCACCACCACAGCCTGAGGACGACCATCACGTACAGTTCGGCCAACTGCAGGGTCGGGGCATGCCGATAGTCAGTGATGAACTGGATCTGCCGGGCTGGGTGCCTAAGAACTACATTGAGAAAGGTGACATTTTAAATTACCAATATGTATACACGACCCTTTAGGCATAGACATTTTTTATGTACACATAATATTTCTTACATATGGTATATACAGATAGGTGCATTGTCTGAAATACAATTCTTGAAATATTACAAAGGTATTATATTTCTTAAAAATTAAAATTTACTGAAACCAAGTGGTTTAACCTTAACACGTTGAGTGCGGCATACATTTGAACAGGCGCTCACCAATGGCGGCGAGGCCCAGGCGAAGCCTCGGCTCGGCACCGAAACGGCCAACGCAATTGGCATTCAAATATTTCAATCTGACAAATAACTAAAGAGCAGCAGTGATTGTACTGTGTTACCCCGAGAGTGGACGTAGTTCACTGAAACACCCAAAGGTAGCAGCACTGCCTGGATCAGTAGTCAGTGTCTTTGTAATGTGGCTTGAAGAGAGAAAATCCCCGAAACTGGGACATAAGCATTGTTAGACGGGATTTTACGGGAAATTTTAGCACCAACCTACCAAAATAACCAAAATAAAGCTCATATTCTAAGCTACAGGCTAGCAACGATTATAACGTTCCCCGGCAATGGCTGAGCTCATACTGAACTAATGTGGGGGTGGCGTGACTGCATCTATTGTTGTAAGCCGATAGTGTAATGTTTGAAGTTAGTAGTGACGTTAGGCTTAAATAATAACACATTTTAATGTTAAAATGCCGCGGCCGATACGGACGGGAGTAGCATGGGGATTAGATGTCATCACGGGAGCTCATGGTAGACTGAAAGAAATAGCTGGTAAAAGTGTAGCATGGTCAGGCTGTGTTCTGATTGGTTGGTTGAGGGTGGCGTGATGATCGGACCACGGCAATGTTTCTTCGGTCAAACATTGCCATCATGATATATACATTTATAATGGTCATACTCAGCAAAGTATACTGTATGAAATACACTACAGATAGGAGCGCTTTACTAAAGATCGCCGATGATGACATTTGAAAGAAGGATGGTTTATGTTCTTTTCTACTCTCTAATTGATTACATATTAAAGACTACAAAAAATACAATAGAACCAGTTGTACACAGTTTATTAACACACTGAGGTAATTAAACAAATTTTAAGTGAGGTTCTATCTAGTAAAATAAATTCCTCAACACATTTTTGACTTTGTCGTTCCTATTATTAGTCACTTTCGGATCTTGGGTAGCTCCATCTTGGATATCCTTATGGGGCCTTCCTTCTGGTTTGGCTGTTTATGGTAACTCCCAAATACTTTAATTCCTTAGGAATTTTGCATCACCAGCGTTGAATTGTTGGGCTCTGCCACTCTTTAAATTTTCATATAGTTTTGTCGAACCTACAAACATTAAAGCTATTTATCCACACAGTAGTTCAGTATTTACAGCAGTATGCTACACACAAAACAGTAGTATAGAGAATTTGTGAATTTTCTTCTTATTTAGACCCAGCAAGATTTTGTTAAATAATCTTGGTCTTGTTTTTTTAATTTTTACCAAAGCCGTTGGCTTTTATAAATAGTTAATCAAATAGTTTAATCTTGAGAGATGATTTTAAGTGACTCACAGACAACTTTGAATGGTTTTTATAATTTAACTTTACTCTATCTGATGTTATCTTAATCTTAAAATTATTAGCTTGCATTCAAATGGAAACCAAAATCATTTAGTTAGGTATACTGTAGATTTATCCTTTAGTTTCTAAAATATAGCTTGAGAGGTAAAAAGGTTGTTAGAGCCTTCTAAGCTTGTGGAATTTTCTTGTTCCTGAATCTCAAGGCAATCATTAGCACTCATTAATCTCATAGAAATTGTTAGATATTGGCTCATATCACATTGAACAAACGTGGAGCAATCACCGACTTCTGCGTAAAGGTAATTTCCCTGTGTCTTAGATGTACTTAAAATAGTCTGTTTGAAAGCATAAAGTACAGGCAAATAGGAGCAAAGGTACCAATTTCAATACACAAAAGTTTTATGTCTATTTGCCATGCCAAGCTGCAGTTAGGTCTTAAATTAAGTCCTGTCGTACTGTTTTTCCTGGAGTTAGCACCTCAGGAGTGTCCCTGAGCATATGAATTTTACCTGGCGTTCAAGGGCACTCCCCTATTCCTTAAAGACTGATTTACACCATACCAGTCGGTGTCCCAGTTGAGGTTGCCAGTTACTGAATGACAGTGTCTGGCGCCGTGTAAACAAGTCCTGCCAGTCACTAGAGTAGCCAGTTAGCCACAGACCCGCCAGTAGCTGGCAGACTCAGTAGACCAAATATTTTTGTTTTACAGGCATGCCAGTCCCCCCCCTCCCCCCAACTATAATGTTAGCGCTAGCATTCTTGAATTTGTTCCTTAGTTAAATACGCTAGTGTAATCTCTAATTTCAGCCTGGCTGGTAGAGCTTTGGGCATCAAAGTGTCATTTCAGATTATAATTGGGCTAATCATACAAAGTGTTCATCAAACTGATCTGTTGCCAGTCAAATAACCACTTTATATTTTGTGTGGATCATTTACATGAAGCTCTCTAACTATTGTCCCCGACAAAGTCTTCTAAAATAAACAACACACGAAAGCGTGAGTTCCATCCAACCACAAGAGGGGGGGGTTGTAGATTGGTTTTGTATCCATCCAATCTTGTATCCAGGTTTCTCGTTCTTTCTTTGTCAACTCGTGTGAACATAAAAGTTCTGGACACAAAAGTTTAGATATCGAGCGCACTGTTTCTTAATAATACTTTTTTGTAGCGTTTCAGTTATGATTTGTTCACTACAGCAAATAGACCACAAACATCCGCACAAACATGAAAAAAACGCTATAATATTCCAGTAGCTGTGAATGTGTAAACGTAAACTTTAAAGTTCCAGTAAGTTGGCATTCCAGTTACCACTTTCCATTGACCTTCCGCCTTCCAGCCATATCTCAACTGGAATGCCAGGCACTGGCAATGTTTAAATGAGCCTTTAGGGCAGAGATTCCCAAACTTGTTTGATTCATGCCCTCCTTTTGTAGGTAAACAAAAAACAAATATTACAATGTAAACAAAACGTGTATTTTGCCCATCACATACATTTAAATATTGGCTACACACAAAGTTTATGTAGTCTTTTTAATATTTCTTTAATAATATTTTAATAATACTGTAATTACAAATATTCTTAATTATGAAATAAATAAAACTAATATAATACTATCTCAAGAATTATTTAAATAAAAACAATTAGGAGAAGTTCGTAACTTCATTATAAATAACATTTGATTAGTACAGTGGTGTACATCACAGAGTCTTGGCCAATGAGAACCTTGCAGGAATGTAATAGGCCTACATACAATTTGTAACTGATATGCATGGATTTAATTGTATTGGAATGCAATTTTTTATTCATAACTGGTCTTAGGCACGTGCCCCCTCTGACACAGCGTCACACCCCCTCATTTTCAGAACCCTTGCTTGTAGCATACAAACATTTAAAGCCGGGTTTTCCTAGGCGCGGAGTCGGCGAGCGGAGAGAGGAACGCGGAGAGCGGATTCCACTTGTCTTAGGCCATTTAATGTTACTGTTTTCCTAGAAGCGGAGCGGAATGCCATGTTAATTTCAATTCCGCTCTCCGCGTTCCTCTCTCCGCTCGCCGACTCCGCGCCTAGGAAAACCCAGCTTAAGGAAGAACTCCAACGACCTACCACCTTAAATTTAGATATTTTTACAGAAAAATTAAATTTCTGTTTTTTATTTGTAATCGTTTTTGTTTTCCTCACTTGGCACTCCAATAGTATCAGTAGACCATTCAGCTTGTTACAAACTCAATATGACAGCTGTCTATGAAAGCCATAGAATCATACAGCGTAGAGTGTGGCATATTAATTTTTTCAAATACATGCTGTTCTGGCGCAGTTAGTTGTTCCCTGTTGTCCAGAATGATGTTACCCAGTTGATGTTATCTTAATGCAATACTAGAAAAGGATTATTTTGAGCATCCATTGTCATCCAAGAACATATCCACGCACTGAACAATAAATTGCAAACAAAAAACAACCTGCACTCTAATTTCATTTGCATTTTGGAAACCGAATATTAGATGAATACAAACCTCTCTTTGTTACATATAAACGACGGCGTCTCCATTGTCTTCAACCAACAGTTTGGCTACAGCATAATTTAAAAAATATTCCGCTCCACCTTGTACTAGGCACGTTTTTTAAGTAAGGGCCGTTTTTAAATTTCTTCGTTCCAGCACTGCGATTGGCATTTTCGACATTTGCGCTGTGTATGTGCATGTATTGGTAAGTCATAGCCAGAAATTCGAGAAAAATCGGCCTTGTTTACATCCGGTTTCAAGCATTCAAAATAGTGCCGCCAATTGAGACTGCCGCCGACTGTGAAAGTGCGCGCTGTAATTAGATTTTTAAGAGCTTAAGGTGTGAAAGCCATTAAAAATCATCGACAGATTAGTGAAGTGTATGGCGAGAACATTATGAGTGTCATAATTGTATGCAAGTGGATATGGGAATTGAAATACGGTACCACGAACGTTCATGATGAGTAACGCACTGGGCGGCGTCATTACTGTCCCCGTACCCATGATGACAACCAGTGCGTTGCTCATCATGAACGTTGGTGGGGCCGTCTTAAAATGTCCTTACCTACTTGCGTACCATTCCGTCACTCATAATGTTCTCGCCATACACTTCACTAATCTGTCGATGATATTCAATAGCTTTCACACCTTTAGCTCTTAAAAATCTAATTACAGCGCTCACTTCACAGTCGGCGGCAGTCTCAATTGGCGGCACCATTTTGAATGCTCAAAACCGGATGTAAACACGGCCGATTTTTCTCGAATTTCCGGCTATGACTTACCAATAGATGCACATACACAGCGCAAATGTCGAAAATGCCAATCGCAGTGCTGGAACGAAGAAATTTAAAAACGGCCCTTACTTAAAAAACGTGCCTAGTACATTCTTATACAATGTTTTATTTCTGTATTAAATTTTTTTTCATAACTTTAAATCCCTTTCTTTCTAAAACTGTCAACTAAGTTTGGCTTTCTCTGACTTAGAGTTATTTGTGGTTACATTCCCCTCTATTAACCCCAATAACCGAGGTTTTACTCATCGAAGTATATAACACAACTGGATCGCTAGGTACGTGTTCACGAAAGCGCGCTGTTGTGGCAGCCTTCCCCCACCACCATGTGGGACCCAGCGGATTTTAGCCAATTCATCGAATAGTGCGCAAAGTTGTTAACTCGCTCCTAGCCTTCAATAACAAAGATTAAGTACAATAATGTTTATATATTCGTAATCTGCATTAAATGCAGAATGTAATGTTATAAATAAATTTTACTTTTGATTTGAAATAGAATTTCCATAGTTAAAAAGAGTCAACAATTTCTACATTGTGACATGAAAAAGTTAGTAGGAATACGAGGAAGTATTTTATTTTTGAAACACTTTTTTACTATTCTTGTCTTTGCAACATTATTGAAATACTCATATTGTCAAAGGAACACGTCTAACAATTCAATTTGTAAATGTATTATTCAATTTTTGTTATTGTTATTGCCTTTACGTTAAATACTTCCTAGGTTTAGTATTTATGACCTTATCAAGTACTTCCTCTGAACCTTAATATTTTTAATTTCTCATTAATTACCAAACCAAGCAGATAGTAAACAATCCCTTGTTAAACTAAACAAAGGGGGATTACCAGTCCCTGTCCCTGTATATATAAACATTTTATATTTTAATTGACGGTAACATTGTATGTAAATAGTTTACCTAGAAGGTGATAATACAGCATTTAGTTATGGGTTACCTATAATAAAAATGTATTTAATATAACTATTGGTTGTACTCAAACAATTTCTGGGAGTACCGTAAACAAAAAGATCAGCGGGACCAGGGAGAACGGCCCGCGGCGCGATTTATAAAGAACCTATTTGCGTTACAAATTACTCCATTACGCACGACTAGAAAATTTTGGTTATATGCTGAAGATCATCTCATTACCTACAGTTTTGTTGCTTGAAGTTTGCTCTTCCCAAAAAATTTTTAAAAAATCCTCGCTTAGTAACTTTTTCATGTCAAGGTGTGATATTTGTTTAACATTTTTAGTTGTTAAAATTTTAACTACGATTTAAATAAGATTATATATATATATACAATTTCCATAAAAAGTTTTGGTTTTATATACTGTCAGATTCTGCAGTTAATGCAGATTCTGAATATATAACTATAATTGTAGTCAACCTATTGTATGCACGGCCAGAGCGTATTATCAACCGTGTGCACAGCTTGAGGAACTGACATCTGCGTTGGGTTCCCATGCGTGGGGGAAGGTTGCCGAAATGGCGCGCTTTTTATCCCACATCTCCTATCTACCCGGTGTTCCAGTTGTGCTATGTACTTCGATGGTTTTACTACAAGCAAGTCTGCAACCGAACTAGGTCCAATACAACAAATATCTTACCGCTAACTTGCACAGCTGATGATGGTTTTTATTTTCAGTTGTGGCGATCTACGACTACTACGCAGACAAAGACGATGAGCTGAGTTTTCAGGAATCAGCTGTGATTTACGTGCTCAAGAAGAACGACGACGGATGGTGGGAAGGAGTCATGGACGGAATCACAGGGCTGTTCCCAGGCAACTACGTAGAGCCTTGCGTCTAAAATATATTCCATTTAATACATTATTTATATCTACTAACTTATACTCAAGAGTTGAATTGAGCTTGGAGAATGTTTTGTAAATTATTGTAAATCAACAATTGAATATTTAAATATTGCAAATTTATAATAAAATGCTCAAAATAATTTCCTTGTAGAAAATCGAAGTGAGTTTTGCTAGTAGTTTATACGCTGGCGAAAGCTACTCTAAAAATTTAAAAACAATACTTATGGTAGATCAAAATGAAAACAAATTTTAATAAAAATATTAGTTTGGTATTTGCTTATGCCATCATAAAACCTATTACATTACCCATTACCTATTTAGTTTGACTTCAATATCATATTCAATGAATCCTTTAAGCCATTGTCATACCCTGCTTATCTACAAGAAAAGCTATCAATTTTGAAGGATTATTTTGAGCATTTTGAAGTTTTCTTGCAAAGAAGAAAAGTTATTTTGGTGCATAGTAAGATATAGGTGCACACAAGTATAGTTAGTTTGACAACATTTTTAAACCCTTTTAATTTCACTTTATCCAATACCCTAAATTATTTATTTAGTTGAAGACGTTATGATATTAACTAGATTATCGGAATGTTAGATATATATTTTTAACCGGATACAATTATTTATATCATAACCTATTTAGTTTAAGTCAATTGTTGAAAAAGAATTTATCCCCTATGTTTTTTGCGTAACTTTGAAAAAGTTTATTTGTTCTCTGAGCACTATGTTGGAGACCTAATTGATATTTTCAGTGCTTTTTTAAAAGGTGCCTGTTAAGACTTACGAAGATATTATTTTAAACTTTTAACTAAAGTATATCATTTTCTTATTTTTTTTCCTCCTATCTTAGCATGGATCTCATGGAAAAGGAGTGTTCTTTTTAATACTCATAACTTTATTTGGTTGTGTTATTTGAGTTGTGAATAATATGGGGGTGGGTTGTTTTATTTTTCTTGTAAAATGATAACCACTCTAAAAGACAGGTCTTCTTAGTGTTTACACTAAGTTTAATTGAAATAGTTATTTGTGTAACTAGTGGCCAAAGTGGCACTTTGCACTCGCGTTACACATTGTATTTTTCCTACAGTTACTATAAATCATAGAAATAATTAGTCTTTCAAACACTAAGCAACACGTTTTAGGTTAGGTTAAATCTAAGCGTTATAACACAATGGGAAACGCTGCATCAGCTGATCGTAGTCGTTTTATTAAGTGTTGCCAACTTATTTTCAAGCGTACTGTATTACGTGCCTAATAAAAGCACAAGGTTTTTGTTGTTCGGTTGGAATACTGGAGTGCAGCAAAGAAATGAGTGCGGTAAAAGTAAAATGAGTGTGACAAAAGTAAGTAAATGTAGCAATTAGCTACTTTGCGTGCTATAATCGGTACAAGAAAGTCCGCTTTGTTGGGTAACTGTAGGAAACATTTTTTAAACTCGAGATATCGGTTTTGAAAGTTGGCTGTCAATTTCATTGATTTTAGTTAAAAATCCAAATTGAGAATTGAGAGAGAATGTCATTTTCGGTTTCTTGATTTTCGTTGCAATCACAGTAGATGCTCTAAATTTCACCCTAGTTGCTGGTTGTAGTGATGACAGCTTCAGTTACTGAGCTCTCAGGTTCAAATCTCATCAATTACCAATGACTTTTGTAATAATGATGCTACTCGAAGTAATGTCCAAAACAGAGCCTAGCGTCCTAGAATGTTAAGGAAAGACAACTTTAAAAACAAACGATTGGTTTACAGAGTTCAATTCAATTACCTGTATTAGTAACAAATTTTGTGACTGACAAAAGTAATGTTGAAATAACATATATTCAACCCATCCCTTAAGTGTAGCCAAATTATAAATTACATTCCAATAGAATACCGTCTATTTTCATAGGTAAAAGAAATACCATAGTTTTTTTCAGTAAGTTATGGCCTAAACTAAGCAGCAAATGTTATTGAAGGTTAATATACCAGTATTTAAGCCAGTTTTGTAATTTAATCGCTAATCAACATTTTTAGTGCTTACAGTAAAAACAATACCTTAGTTATTTAAGTTGATACATCTGAATAAGAAGTTTGAAACATATTTTTAAATATTTTTTAGCCAGAAAATATTTTAGAAGGAAACTCGTCTTCCACCTACCCTATCCTACAATTAATACATGTTATTAGTTACAAATCTGCTGTAACTATTATTTTGTGGAAACATGATGGTATATATTTGTTTCCAAGTATTTTTGATTAACCGAAGAAAAAATACTGTATAGGCCTAGTTATGATTATGAAACAATATTGTATAAAATTATTTATTTTCTACGGAAAACCGTGCCGTGCACTATTTATTTTGTTTTGTTAGGCAAAAGAGCTAGAGTTGCTTTGTATAACTGTAATAGAATTGGGGGGGGGGGGGGGTTAGTTGGATAAGCAAGCAACTGTAAAAATGGAGCGATTTGGATTTGAGTTCCGATGCAGTCGCTACGTTTGATTCTTGTACTGCAACAGCTCATCCCTAAGTTCGATATATTTCTCCCATATGTATGAGGTCGAATGTGAGGCAAATGTAAGGTAAAAAGCTGCCAACATCCTACAAAATTAAAATTGTTATCTCATATTATGCTTTAAAGATGAATTATTCTTTGTATATAAGTTACAGTATGTATGTGGTGCACAATTATTGAATAAAAATATTTCTCAAAATTATCTTTAATTTGTCAAAATTCTTTGTAAGGGATACCTGATTTTTCTTCTGAAAAAAACAAATGGAAATATTTCCTATGAGGTGAAATACAATCATTCATCTGACTAAAATATAATAGTTTAAGTTTGGTTGATGTTTGGGAAAAGTGTTTTACGAAATTTATAATGGTCAGAAACAGAATCGACACAAAATTGATTAAGTCAGGGGCTGGCATGAAATTTGTTTGAGCAAAAATGCTTCAAACTCTCAGACAACTGAAGAAAAAATATTATTGTAAGCATTGTTTTAAAAACTGAAATTAATAGTACATGTTTGAACATTACATCTTCAATTTTATTTGTACCAAATTTGCTATAGCCGGCAAAAACAATGTAGCACTTTTTAAGTTGTGAATAGCAAAATGCTATAAATGCTACTGCAGTTTAAACCCCATGTGGCCTTAACTTTTGCCTGTCTAAATAAAAAAAGCCTGGCCAGGGGTGCTCCCAAAAAGATATAAGCATTTAATGTGCTCTGACAAACAATATTTCTTTAATCACAAGCACTTTACCCCTTTTTTAAATGCTTACATGTTCAGTTACTTATATGTTCAGGCCAAATACTACACAAACAATCAAATCAAGGGTCCCATTCAATCAAAAAACAAAGTTATAAATTGAAAAATTATATCATTTTTTAATTAATTTAATTAGAAAAACATTTGGAACATATATTTCTGTTTCTGGCTCCTCTTGTCTTATTTTACTGTGATTAAAAAATAGAAGAAAAGTTTAAAATTACAAAAATAATGTAATATCAGTTGGTGGAGTATAAGTAGAATAAAGATCATGTCAATTAGGATATGGTGGAGGGAAAAGAACTCCCAACACTAAGAATCACACCACTAGACACTTGCCACTCAATCTAAACGATTTATAAGTTGACACAGTAAGGTTTAAGTTGTTATGTAGTTCTGTCTCTGCCATAAGATAATTTTTATACTTTTTCCTTTACAACGCCGATATCATACCGGATTCAAACATAACTCAAACTGGGACGAACGAAATAAAAATCTGTACTATGTATAATTGTAAATATTATACCAGAAAAACACAAAATCTGAAGAAGGAAAGATTGGACCTTGCTTTAAAGATTTCATCAACACCAGTTTTGGGATGGTTATTTTTACTAAATTGTGGGCAATGAAATTTGCATTTTACTGCCTATTTGATGGTGTTTAATTGCACTTCATCAGCAAACAGGATTTTGAACTCTAAAGCTTGAGTGGGGTTTATTGCATGAAATCTGACTAAATCGGTAACGGTAATCGATTAGAAAATTTGAAAAACATTTTTTCAATGAAATAATAGGTAGAGTTTTAAAATAGAATTTTAAATGTTTCCCATTTTTATAAAGTAATACAAATACAGCCAAATCAAAGACCTAATACGGGTGTATGTTTTTTTAACCAGAGGTTAGTAAGTTCCATCTGAAAAACTGTATCTTAAAAGTTTTTGAAACTGATGTGTTGGTAGATACAGTGATCCCTAAAACCCCAACATGCGCCACCAGTGGACACTTTTACTACGGGATTTTTACATTACAACACATCATTTCGGAGTTTTTGTGAGTGGTTTTGCTATGTATTCATATTTTAGCAGTGGCGGATCCGAGGGGGGGCGACCGCCTCCCTTCGGGCATACATATGCATATATTTTTGACTGTATGTAATACAGTAGTACATACAAATTGTGTAAAATAATTTGTCACACAAACTTTGGACAAAGAAATGGTATAAAATTGTCATTTTGGAGACTTAGTTTACACATATTTTTCGGGGCTTACCCGAACCCCTGATTCGCCCCCCCCCCCCCCCCCCCGTGTGACTGTTCTAGATCTGCCACTGTATTTTAGAGGCAAATGAACCATATCCACAGGTTGTACCTCAACCAAACTCGGGTTTCAATACTAGAACAATACATTAATTTATCCAATCAATAATAATGTGCTTTTCTTTATTACAACATAAAACTGTTGTAAACATAAAAAATCAACTAAAAATGTATTCAAATCAATCAAATAATAACCAGGTTTATAAATATGATACGTGGCAAAAACATTGATGTTCGACAAAAACATCGATAATCTACCATTTAAACACAAAACATCGACTATCCATGCTCATCCCTAGTCGTGATGCACTGTTTTACGCAGTACTGAGCAAGGCCTTGGGTGGCGCACATCGACCAGTGTATATTGACACAATGACAGGTCGATAAGTACCACAGGTTTTACACGCTTTTATTAGCAACATTTGTATCTATTTTGTTACTAAAACTGTACTATGATTGTACAACGGATTAGTTTTTATTTATATTTAGTTATTCTTAAAAAGGCACTTTTGTTTTTTTTGGAAGTATGGTATTTAGTACACATATTTACTTTTGACTGAAGGTGGGCACACGTCAGAGTGAACATGTTAAGTACTATCCTTGACTATTAGATAGAAGTAGACATTCCATTCATATGTTAAAGCTGTAGCCATTTTTCAAATAAAAATTTACGAAATTCAGTTAAGCTACAGACAAGAGTGCGCTTAAGTAAATTATTGATTTCTGCTGAATGTGAACTTTTTAACCTAGCCAAAAAGAAAAACAACTTTCATGATATGAAAAGATCCTTAATGAGAAATGCTTTGAGATATATTCAACTATAAAAGTATCAAGAATCAAATAAGAAAATTTCTATTATAGCACACTATGAGTAGTTCATATTAACCATATTCTATTGAAATAAATAAATTGGCTACAACTGGTCCATATAGATGGGACGTCTACTTCAGTATCCAATGGTCAATGGTTTCTGTACTAGTCAGCTTGTATAAAAAATAATTAAATTAATTGTATCTGAAGATTGTGGTTTCTGATTTGCGTACAAGGCTGGAACAATTTTTCAAAAAATCTTCATATGCATTTCTTCAGATTTACCATAGACAAAAAGAATTAAATATAGACCGTCAGCTGTGCTGCGGTTACCCCATTTTCTGGCGCACAATGCTGGGAGGGCCATAAAGTTATGACCTACCCGCTACATAACTACACGGCGCTCCCAGTGGTGTGCGCCAAAACCTATGGTAACCATGGTAACCACTGCGGCTGACAGTCTATATTTCATTTTTTCCCCAGTGCTTTTCAGTGTGGTCAAAGCTGGAGTTCTGTGGTTCTTCAAGTACTTGGGATTTGAATATCATTATTGCAATGAGAGCACCATGATCTACCCGCTTTTTGTTTTGAGCTTAGAAAGTCAGCTGATCATTATAAAGCCTGCAGAACGGCATAATCATTGCTTCCCCTGTTGTGAAATAAAACCTGAGATCAAGCATGGACCAGTGCTGGATGCTGGAATTTTTGTAAGAACTGATTTAGGATCTTACAGGATGTCTTGAATAAAGGCAGAGAGGCTTGCTAATTAATTATATTTATCATTTTGTAACAACTGCCCAGGATTCTAAGTTACAATAATAAGTGGTTTACACCTCTTAACGTCATCAATCATTAAAAAAAGTTAATGGTAACCATGGTTTGAACACTATCTGATGAACAGTACTTGTAATATGTGCATTTTGTCACTTTTAATTTACGTCCTCTGGACAGATATGGAGTTTAAATTCTTAGTTGATGGTGCGATAACACAAAACTTCTAAAACCATGGACTATGGTCAGAATACGTTTGCTGTAAGGGTTGTTGATGTGTATACCACTTATTATTGAAGCCACAGAGAAGTAATCAGAGGGTACAAGCTTATGGGTCAACCGTGCGCCTATAGGTCAGGTATGTTGGGGTAGATATGTTCTAGTATCGAGCAAGGAAGAGCCCGAACGGCGATGGCCACATAGAATATTTGTGCAACAGTTGTAGCGCACAGGGTCTTCCTACGGAGCGCTGTAGTACGTGATGGCAAGGGGGGAAAGGAGAGCGGAAGGGGACGAATAGAATTTTCTAGGCACCAGCGACTGTTGCTAGACACTACTTAAGTGTACCATTGAATGTATCCTCTGTTTCTTACTTCTCTGTGTTGAAGCTTACTTAGCCTGCGTTAGTAAAAGTAAAACCGTTGACCAGCTGTTGCCAATAAAAAAAAAAAAAAAATGTTGAGTGATCCAGTCACAGATTGCGCTTGAGTCTAAAATTTTATTTCCTACCTTTATTTTTTGTCACTCAGATAGTTGAAATTACATAAAAGGTGCTATATCAGACAATGCGTCAACCTATAAGTTTGACTTGGTTAAAAAGTTGTGGTATAAACAGAATTAAGTAATTTATATCAGCGCAATCTGTTGGTGGCTCACATCAACTGTGTTCATTTTGATTTAAAAATTGACAACAGCTTAAACATGGGGATAGAATGTATAGTTCTGTGAAAGTTAAAATATATTTGACTCTCTAACATAAGGTAAAATACCCCCCAAGATGTTTCTTTCATAGGTTATTGTCTTAATTACAGGGTCAAATGTTTGTCCCAAAAGTGCTTAAAATTGTCTATATTTAACCCAACATATAATTTCAATAACATCATGACCCTGATAGTTTACTGATAAGGCTTTGAAGAGTTTAATACTCTTTTTGACCCTTTTCTCCACTCTTGCTTGGTTCAGGGTAGAAAAAGCAAATTTAAACTTGTTTTAATTTTGTTTTTAGTTTCTATTCAATGTTTCTTTTGTCTTCTGTCGTACTTAAAATTTTAAACTGGATATTTGAATAAAACCAAAGAGCTAATATTCATGGTTCCTCAATAAAATAGAATTTGTAAAGAATGAAATTTCCCTTCAACTCTATGTTGTCATAAGTATGATTCCGAATATTTTCCTAGTGCAGTATGATGGTTCTTGTAATGTAAACACTCATAATCAAACTTAAAACAACTCCTTTTTCGATCTTGCAATTTACAAAACCAATACTATTTAAAAGTTTAATGTAATCAGCTCGGCACATTTTTGGTAAGAATATGTATTGTTTGTTAGTACCCATTG